CCAGCAATCTCCTTATCTGGAAATATATACATACTAAAGTCTGTCCGCATGCAACAACGAGACTTGCCAAATACAACGACAACTTTTTATTACGCTCTATCTAGTAGCCACTGAGCTTCGAGTATCTGGTTGTTTGGATTCTAGACGGCTCCAAGGATGCTGTGGTCGCAGATATCGACTTCTGGGTATCTTACTTGACTCCGATGAAGGAGTCCGAGATTTGGACACCTAAGAGCAGCAAGCTATTCTCTGACAGGACATCGAGAATTATTGTCTTCTATTGAAGAACGAGGAAAGTTACTAGCCGCAAAAGGTTCAGCAGCATTAGTTGCAAGTAATCCAAGAAGCTTCGCTCGACTCTCTGGCCTAGTTGTCAAGGTGTGATGGCCGATGCACACTTCGAGAAGATCTTTGTTGAGGCACTTCGCTTCGAGAGTATTTGCGTCGAGATTTATTTGCTCATTGCTCGTCAATCTTCGTCTGACCAAGATCGACAGACCGATACCCCCTCGCCGTATCAACTAGGACTTAAGCGAAAGCCCTCCCTTCAGCCGAAAAAAAGGACAATGGGGAACAAAGGCCGTTCTCTCTCTCTCTTTTGCTGATGGTTGATTTATTGTTCATTTCTGGTATTGAAGAAAACTCAAGGCGTGGAACTGATATCTTCTACCCGATCATGCTTGCATGCTAACTCTGCCATGTTCGAACCTGACTGAGCTGAGATCATGGTAACACTTTGGAACCGTGTTGTTGGTCTAGAGCGTAAAGGCGAGCAATACATAAAAAGTAGAGTATTGCTATTTGAACGATCAGAAATTTAGAACAAGCTTCATCTAGTTTACGTGGGCGCGTTTCAAGTCACGCGATACAAGCCCAAGTCCAGGCCGTTGATACGATTTTTTGTTGTGCAACGCCTTGATCGATGTCGACATATTGCCACGAGACCCAGGCGCCCGCGTCCCTATTCGTTGGTTGTCATGGTAAAAAATTATACTTGACAACGGCATGGGTCATCAGTAACGGTTGTACCATACCAGCTACTATTGCTTGCACACATCGTTTGCAGCGAGACCTCGCAAAGATTCAAAGAGATGTACACCTCGAATGCCGAATGACGATGGGCAGGAACTGCTCCTCCGACCCAAAGTTCTCTCAACGCCATCTCTGCTGAAATGTTTTTGCACTCTGTTTGTATGAATTGAGAAGAGAAGATAGTATCAAGTAGACATGCCGCACTCGCAGAAGAGAGGCGGTAAAGCCTAATCAGCTGCCATAAGTCTCTAGTGTCTGCATCATTCGTATTCGACGGTTGAACTTCCGCCCAGATCCATGAAGGACACCCCGTTGGAGTTTACTCCAAAAGAACGGGAAGGATACAACTTGATAAAAAATTTGGGAAACATTTGCCAATGGAGACGCCGTGTATCAGGGCCAAATCTCCTCGTTCGAGCGCATATGCCAATCATGGCAACTGACCGAGTCCCTATAATTCTTCTGCGGCCTGAGGCTGTATTGACACACCAAACGCGATTAGGTGTCGATTGCATCAACTACGCCACGGCCTGCGACTCCGGCGGCCAGAAAACCTTGAAACTGCATCAGGAAATAGATTCCTCAATGCTCGCACTGTCATGTGCCCCAGAGCACGACCGATGGCTATGCCCCCAAGTGTCATATTCTTCACGCTCTTCCGAGCGTGTTGGCGCAGAGTATGCAGCCAAGCTCGCCAAACGCGTCATCAGCATTGCCTTGTGTGAAAGGATTCAAACCACTGAGTTGATTCAAAGACACGCATCTCACAGTTTGATGTTGATACACAGGAGTGAGAAGTGCCAGGAGCACCGCACGGAGCCCGTTAAAAGACCAAGAGACGGCCACGTGTAATCATTTTACTGACAGCTCTCTGAACCGCGTTGAAGCGGGCGATGCCACATGTTTCGCTCTCCAGGTGGTTGATAATGGCTGCTAGGGTCTTGAAGTCAGGACAGCGCCGGTTAGGGCAGTGGTACAGTGCCTGCTGGTCTGGCTTGGTGTAAGTCAAAGGCTCCATCAGGACGCCAACAAGAGCCAGAGAACTAGTGCCCTGACAAGATTGCGCGTTTGGAAATACGAAAGAAGAGTTGTCGACTCACGAGCTGCAGAGTTAAGATGTTGGTTTAGGCTGTGAAGGCTGTTGAATTCGCGGTCGCAGAAATAGCACTCGTAGCCGTCGCCGTTCCACGAGTCCTCCGTGGCCTCATACGTCGTCGAGTCGTCACACTCGAGCTGCTTAGATATGAGCCCGTCAGGATCTTTGGAAAGCACGTAGCGGTGTATAGTCTCGCGGCTGCTGGTTTTGTTGGGGCAGCCGTTCATCTCGAAGTGGTGGGCGAGGCCGGTGGCCGTGGTGAAATTTTTGCTGCACTCGTGACAGGCAATAGTACCACCTCTGTGACGGCTCGAGTTGAGGTGCTGCACGTGTCAGGGCCGAAGATTTCTTTTCCCATCAAAGACTTTTGATATTGGAGCGCGTCTGTCGTCGGCGGGGGCCCTTCGACAGCTGCTGCGAAGCCGAGCACTTACCATGCGCAAGTTGTTGAAGCTTTGGAAATGCCGGTCACAGTCGGCGCAGTAATGATGATCGTCGTGCTCGTGCTCTTCACGATCTTCCTCGTCCCAAAACGTGTCGTAGCACACGTGGCACTCGAACGGCCGATGGTTCTTGACATCCTTGTGCTGCATCATGGCGCGCTCGGTGTTGAACTCCCGTCCGCAGTCCTGGCACTCGTAGCGTAACTGCCAGCAGCTGTCAAAGTCGTCCATATTGTGTGGATGTGACTAGCTATCTAGAGATGGTGTAATAGTCGACTTGTGTAAATAGACTCGGAGCAGTGGAAGACAACAAAAAACGATATGCCTTCCGGGGTCGTGGGCAGTTTCGAATTGCAAGTCGAATCCCGCATCACGTGATGGAAGGGACAGCCTCATGCAATGCACTTGGCAAGCCTATGACCAATAATTAACTTGTGTAGAAAGCTATGTGATGATTGCAGCTGTGACCTAGAGATCTTCATCGCATCTACACAATTCCGGCGGCCTGGGGGTCGATGTACCCCAGGTTCCACTGCATGCTTTGGGTTGACCTGAGTTTGCTAGACGCTAGACCCATTGCCGCTGGCGGTGGACAGGCGAGACTGCGTGCCCTGTACGGCCATGACCATGAATTATTTCTACTTGACAAGACAGGAAGTTCCGATAGATGCACTAACAAATAGTCTGAGTCAAATTCTCGAATCTAGACAGGCACGACGGGCACTGCTGGTGGCACGGTCCGGTTTATTTAGCCATCGAGTTGCAGGTATGCCTTGAACCAATCAATCAGGGTCTCTGTGTTGGCGGGTTGACCCGAATGCAACAGACACATGATGCTTTTCTGAGCGGCGTGCTGGAACATATTTGCTCGAAGCTGTTACAATTTCATAAAGAACAATTGGCGTGATTGCGTGCATGGCGGGTTAATAAGCGCAAAGCACTTGTGACTTGAACTCGCAGGCACAGTGTGACTTGTAAATATTGAGCTTCAGTCGCAAGTGAGTGTTGCGGCTTGCCTTTTTACTCGGCCTGAGATTACTAACTTTGGCGCGGACAGGTTACAGCCGTAAATATTGAGCAGTGACGAAAAAGTGACGGGCGCTGCCCACTATTGGTGTTGCGACCCACTCATCTGTCCAAAAGCAAAACCAGTATCCGTAGGCACAGTCAAAACCGTGACGGCCTGGTGAGCAAAAGCAGGGTAATGGAGCAGATCGATGGGAAATGGGCCCAGGGCGCTGGGGAAGAAGGATCGAGAGGCTCGCAGGCCTGTCCAGGTGCAGGTTAAGGTGCTGGCAATGCAGGTCATTGGGCGGGGCGTGCTAGGGCGGCAGTCGGGTGGCGGGCAGAGGGGTTCGAGGGGATCGAGGCGATGTGCGAGGCTAGCTAGTATGGCAGTGTGGTAAAATTGAATGGAAATGCTGAGGTGATGGGATTGGAATTGTGTCTGAGAAGACGAGTGCGATGAGATGGAGATGAATGCAAGGAGATGAGAGGAAAACGGAGGATGCAAGGAGGGCTTTGGAGAAGCCCAGAGGGCAGAAGCAGCCACAAGATGGGTCTGGCTGAGGGAAGTCCAGCAGTGGCGTGGCACAATGTGTTGCGAGGCCGTCAGTTGCTGGGAGTGGCAGCTGTCGGTGCTGACAGCTGGCAGCAACCAGGCGACGAGGAGCCTACCTATGTACCATGGTGATGATGAGAGTGAAGGATATGATAGATAATGATGCCGTCTACACCACCGGACTTTGAAACGAGAGAAAAAGAAAAGGAACCCTTTACTCTGGTTATTCTACAGCCCATCGAGGAGCGCCGCCTTGGACGAGTCGCGCTAAATAGTTTGTTACCTAGGCTTGGGGGCAACAAGTTCCAGGACAGGACAGGACAGGACTTGGGCACGCGCCGCTGGCGTGCTGAGATGTTGCCTTGCCAGTTGCGAGGGAGTTTGCGCACTCCCCAAACACCGCTAGATAGACACCCCCAAGCAAACAGACACTCAGCCACCATCTCACTAACGTGATGTACGCAAAAGAGCTATAGTAAACTGTTAGAGCATCCACTTAAGCCCCCCTCACAGTACTCCACGCCCCCAGCTTTTGCTCTCTTTGCTGGCTTCTGGCTCTCTCTCTCTCTGTTTTCTCTGGCAGGAGAAGCAGAGCCAACGCTGATCGCCGCCCCAGCCCACGCTCAGTGCCTGGTCTCTGGTCTCTCTCGCTTGCTCGCCCGCCCTCCCTCTCATCCGGCGTCCCTCTCTTCTCTTCCTTTTCCCTCCTCTTCCTCTTCTCCCACACATCATCCCTCGTCATCACTCCTGCTGCAAGAATTAGCTTCATTGCATCTGCTGTGTGGTGGTTTTCCCCATTTTCTCTTCCCCCAGCCGCTCTCAATAGAGCCCCCTCGTTTTATTCTCTCATCCGCTTATACGCCCACTTAACACCATGTCTACCCGCAAGAGAAAGCAAGAAGACGAGGAGGATGAGCTCGTCTCGCTCCCTGAGGAGTCTGATGGCGAAGAAGAACCCGAGTACGTTTTTTTCTTGGTCGACTTTGATCCAGTCTTGTCGCAATGGCTGCCGTGCACGCTCCGGCTGCGGCGGCGGCTCCGTAAGCAAGCTCAAGCTGTTTGCGCCCGCCGCCGTGCTGCACGTTCCTGGCCAGCCAATTGGCACGCACATGATTTACCAGAATCGGAACTCATCGCCAAAACACATTGGACATTCTGCTGACGCAAATCAGATACATTTCCTCTGAGGACGGCGAAGACTATGACGATGAGGAGGACGAGGACGAAGATGCCGAGGCTGAGGGCGAAGACGCCCAAGATGACGACGCCAACGGCCAAGATAGTAAGACACTCTTGAACTTGAAGCGCAAGTTCTAGTCCCCGTTCCTGACCACAGCGCGCCCCGAAAACGTACTGACATTTCCCACTAACGCATTTGAAGACGATGCGCCGCCTGTAAAGAAGCGAAAGACGGCCCCTGCAGGCGACGAGGAAGAGGAAGGCGGAGACGACCTCGAGATTGAGGACGAGGTCGGCGCCGAGGGCGAGGAAGAGGACCCGCCCGAGGAGGAAGACGGTGATGAAGTCGCCGACGACACCAAGGCTACCAATGGCAGCGCCGACAAGGCTGCCGTCAAGGATGTCGATACCGCCGCCACCGACGACAACCAGACGGCAGCCGTCGCTGCCGATGGCGACGACGACGACGAAGAGTAGCGGTGCATATTGGTCTTGAATAATATAAAAGAAGTTGAATGCGCTTGCTCAAAGTACACACCAATTTTGCTCCAAAAAGTACCGCTTTGCTGTGTCTTGACTTGAAGAAAATGCTGTAGAACAAAGTGCCCACCCATCTCTAGAGTGTATCGTCGCCCACGCCGCCGCGACCTGGCCCTAGCGCTCGCCAGGCCCTGCGCGTCCAGATACTTGACTCCCGCGCGTGGACGTTGCGCGCCGCTTGCATCACCATGCTGACGAGATGAGACGGGCATTTCATGGCGCGGGACCGGCTGAGGGCCTTGACGGCGCTACAGGATGATAGAGTAGCAAGACGCGTAGTGAGGGTCGCGAAAATTGTGCGACTAAGAGCAAGACGAAAATTTGACAAGGATTATTTTTCCTTAAGAAAGGCGAACATGTTGTAGAAGAGAATAATTAATAAAAATGGAAATAGCGACTTAGACATGGTGCAATTTAAATGAGAGTAACGCTCTTTCTATATCGCGCGCGCACTTGACTGCCTGGCCTGCCTACCCTGTGGCGAACAGTTGATTGACAATATGCTTAAGCTGCACGACGCCAGTTCTTTTCTTTTCTTTTTTTTCTTTTGTTTTCCTTTTCGAAAAAAATGCAATACTGTCGTACAGTGGAATCTTTCTCAAATCTCTTCTCGTGTCCGGCCAATTTGTTGATTTCGTAGCGTTAGAGCGGTGTTGACGCATCGCGATGACGCCTTGTCATTTTGCCACGCGCCAGACCCAAAAGTGCAGTCGATCTGTACTTTACATGGCTACTCACCACTATAACTTATAGCATCATCACGACCTTGACAGAGCTAAAGCGCCACAATGACCGCCACCGTCAAGACCCTCGACCACCTCGTCCTCACCTGCTCCGACGTCGCCGCCACCGTCGCCTTCTACACCACCCACCTCGGCATGCGCGCCACGGAATTCGTCTCCCCCAAGGACGCAGACGGGACAGTCCGCCGCGCGCTGCACTTTGGCACACAGAAAATTAATCTCCACCAGCGCGGCGCCGAGTTTGAACCAAAGGCGCAGACGGCGCTGCCTGGCACCGCGGACCTTTGCTTCGAGGTGGCTGATGAAGTGAGGTTGGAGGATGTGCAAACGAGGCTGAAGGCGGATGGCGGGGTGAGGCTGGAGGAGAAGGGCGAGATTGTGTACAGGACGGGGGCAAAGGGACGTATGAGAAGCTTGTATGTGAGGGATCCGGACGGCAATTTGATAGAGTAGGTCTTTTTCTTCCTGTCCTCGCTTTCGTTCGGGAGGGGAGTTGACAATTGCAGGCTTTCAAAATATGACGCATAGCGAAATAGCCGTTGGCTTATACATACCATAATACCACAGGATATTCAACAAAAAGTGAGAACCAATTCCTTCTGCTACGTTTCTCTTTAGGTCTAGTCAATATTCACTCAATCTGTTGATTGACTCATACCACGAAGGAGCGCACTTTTATAAATACGCCTTCTTGCCTGACATGAACTATCACACCCTCAATCACAATTTTCTTGGCAATCACGATATCCTCGCTTTTACACACAGACACACAGACATATGGAATGCCTCGATTCATTCTCCTCGCAAGGCTACTCCCGAGTCTGAGCGCCTTCCGGGAGCGGCTCTTTCACCCCACGTATATGTGTTTCCGAGCATATGGGCAAGTACGATGAGGTGACGAATACCAGATGCATCAAAGCACATTAGCGGAACATTCTAGGGGGAAAATGGAAAACGAAACGCCAATGCCTCGTCCCATCTATTGAATAAAGTTTTTCAGCCTCGCTTGCTGTTTTGCTCTGCATATGCTATCCCTCGGATTTTTACACAACTTTGGTGCTTGCACGCAAGTCTATGGCCTGACCATGATGTAAGGCTTGTCCCGGCCAGGAAGCCAGAGGCAGTCAAAGTCATCAACCGCTGTGTCCCAGAAGGGTGTATATTATCCGCGAATCTACAAGTCACAATAAGTTGGGAGTTGATAAATTCTGTAATTATAATTATAGCATTCTATTGCAACAGTTTTTGTTGGTTGAGACAGATGCTTGCCTCGGGCACGGTTGTTCTCCCGCTGCAATTGCGTGCCTCAGGCATTACAGCCGCTGATTGGCCCAGTTTTGCCCCATTTTTATTTAAAGGCTAATTATAGCTCATAAACCATCAATCAATACAAGAAGCAGAATTCATGTCAATTGACAACCAATAACCGACTGTACCAGCAGCTTTAGGCATTGATAATGCCTAGACTAAATAATTAACCAGTAGTCCTGTGAGAATAGCAATGCCTGTAAAGCGGAATCCAAAGATACACCATTTACCGCAGCTCGCTCGGTTTTCCAAATCAAGTAGCGTAACAATACCACCAACACATACAAAGCAACCCGCCACGGCCGTCACGTAAAACGCTATCCCCATAGCGGCATACACGCCCGCAGCGAAGAGCAGCGTTATTTGACCTACTGCGAGCAGTGACAGAACAGGCCTTGCATAACCCTGGATAAAGACAGCGAAGCTATTGACGCCGAGCTTGACATCATCAACCAAATCCATATGCGCATAGATGGTATCAAACAGAATGGTCCAGAGCATCGTGGCGGTAGCCAGACACAGAGTTGATGCATCATACCACGGCTTCTCAATCCCCATTGCCGCACTGCCGACAAGCACGCACAAACCGATAGAGATTCCTAAAACCAGCTGCGGCGCAAACATCTGTCGCTTCGCAAACGGATAGTATAGAATTGCCGCGATACTAGGCACGCATGTAACGATGGTGCTAGGTGGCAGTGGGAACAAGCACGCGGCGGCAAGGACGGCCTGCGCGGCGGCAAAGACAAATGCATCTGTCCTGGTGACGGCTCCGCGCGGGATGGGCCGAGTCTTGGTGCGTTCAACCTGGGCATCAATTGGTGCGTCGACCAAGTCGTTCCACGCATGTGCGCCACTGTTGCAGAATATGCTACCAGCAATGATGATGGCGGAAACGCGCAAAGTTTCTAGCAGCGAGGACTGCAACTGGAAGGCTGCATGGAAAATGCCGAAGAGGTGAGCGAGCGTAACGACGATGAGGCCGTGCGGCCGGTGTAGTCGAGCGAGCTGGATATATGGTGTCCAAGCTGCGGGAAGTCTATTCATCCAGCCGCTGGTGTAGTGACCACCGAATTGCTGCGCGAGGCGGGACTCTTGTCCCGTTGCTGCTGCGGTTGGAGCAGTGACCAGCGCCACGGTTTCTGTCTTGGACATGACTTCTGTCTTGGACATGATTTTGGAAAGAGTTGGAAGATGATGAAAGGCAAAAATTGGGATAAAAAAGACAAAAGAGATTGGAATTTAAGAAAGATGAGAGCAAGAAAATGAAAAGATGCAATGTATGAATTGAGAAGAAATGCGCGTATTGTTCACAGAATAGACGCCAGGTACAACACGGTAGCTTTTATACGCGAATTCCATTGAAGCGCAAGATTAACTGATCATCAGCTACGGATTAGTTTAAAAGCTAAAGTCTTCACAGGTACCCGCTCCAAGCTCCGACCGTACTGAGACAATAGGAGGCATGTTACGCACAGGCCGTGAGAACGGTCCCAGCGTGTCAGGCACGGGCGACTTGAGGCGAAATGACAGGTACTGCCCCGTTTATTCGCCGTATCTGTGGGCAATTCTCTCAGTACTCACGGGCCCAAAGTCGGAGACTTCTCGTCAACACAATACGGCAGAGCCCTTGGCTCGACGAGTTTGCTCGTGGCCGGCCGTTCTGTTGCGTGCTTACTCCGTTGCACATTGAAACAAATAGAACCATGACATTTCGCTAAGCGAGGTTCGCTCGGGCACTTGCCGAATGATATATAAATAGGGTATTGTTGTAATCATGTTTTGCAGTTCTTGCGCATGCACAGAAACAGACGAAACACTCGCCCTGAACCCTATTGTCAGCCTTAAATCGCATGCCCAAAAAAAATCAAAAAAATCCACCGCAGCGAGGAACAATCATGTCTACTCAATCCTCTGCACAAGTCGGCAGCGGCTTAACATTTCGTGCCGCTACCCTCTCTGACGCCGCCGCCGTCAGAGCGCTCGTCGTCTCAGCCTTCCGCGGTGATTCGAGCCGCGAAGGCTGGACCACTGAAGCCGATCTCTTCACCGATGAGCGCATATCAGAGGCTGGAGTTGTTGGAAAAATCCAACGAGCTGACAGCCAAGTCGTCATGGTCATTGACGAAACTAACGCCTTACTTGGTTGTGCTGAACTCGTGCGTCAAGGCGCTGTCGTGCAGCTTGGCATGGTAGCCGTTGCGCCGAAGAAGCAAGGACAGGGGATTGGAAAATTGCTCATTACGCACTTGGAAGAAATCGCCATTCAAGAGTACAAAGCAGAGACGATGGAGTTGTACGTTATATGGCTGAGGGAGGATGTTATCAATTTCTATGCTCGCAGAGGGTTCATCAAAACTGAGCGGACAAAGCCATTCCCCTATGCCGAGTTGGTAAATGGCAAGGCACTTCGGCTTGATCTATATTTTGCTGTTCTGGAGAAAAGACTATTGTAGCCTTGGTAATTTCGTTTAATAGTAATGCATACTGATCAACACGTGCCATTATGATTTTCCCTTTATCATGCAAGGTACAGACTTTAGTTGAGTCTAGGCTGTCAGAAACGTCCCGTCTGAGAGTATGCTGTGTCTGCGATAGGCCTAGAACATTTTCCCACATGTTCTAAAAACGGCAAGGGTCTGTTTCAGCTAGTATCTACCAGTGCATTGGGTCCGAAATGGGGCTGTTACTGGACGAAACGCTATGGGAGTGTTTCGGGCCGTGCGAAACGATCATGGCGTCCACCGTCTTCAACTTCAACTACGCTTAGACGCCATAATATAATAAAGTTGGTCGGATGTTCACGTCATCTCGTCAGTATATAATATAGTATAGATATTTTGAAAAGGAAGCTTTCTACTATTCTCGAATCCTCAGTTCTTTCTTACCAATCTTATGTGCGGTTATACACGCACCAGAGCGGCAACACAAGCCAGTGCCCAAGATGACTAAATCTGTCGAGGGCTTCTTGGCTCCTGTCGTGAGATTTAAACATCTCAGGACAACTGTGTCGAATCCAGACGCGCATCAGTGCTTGCTGGCAGTGGCAGAAGTTGTCCACAATCTGGGCCGCGCAGCCCAGCTCAGCCAACACCGCACATTCATCGAACTTTTCGACCAAACGCTCAACCACAGTACTCTGGAGACTATTGCGTCTGCATCTATTGCAGATAAAGAACTATGCTCTGCTTTCAGCGTATACTTTACAACCCTGGAACAAGCGTATGCGTGGCCGCGCCATGATGTTGTTTCGACACCGAAAAACTTGCAAGACCACAAGCTTGTGGTACAAATGATATATCATGATGAGTTGTTCACAATACTGTGTGAGAGCATTCTTCAAAGTACACCAGACACTGGAGATTGCTTTGAAGCTGGTTGTCTGGCGCTGAGCGAAGCAAATTCGCTTCTAAAGGCAGCCGCGGATGCCAAACACAACAACACGCCACTTTCAGATGAACAGCAACGCGTCATCAATCTTCTGTACCGTACCTGTACTCAAGATTGGTTTTTACAAGGCGATTATCGTGATCCCGAATCACACCGACAGTTTGGGAGATTGCATGAGGTGATACACACAACCGGCACCCAAAGATCAGTCCAAGAAATCTTCCAGCGGTCGGCGGTAGAAATGTTACAACGACTACCAACCATGCTGCACGATATCCCGAGCACGGAGGCGAACATTGCAGATCTTTTTGAAAGTCTGCAAGTTGATGTCAGCTGGGCCCGGGAGGAGTTGTTCGAAATGGTCATTGACGAAATCATCTGGGGCCAGACATTTGCCAAGTACTCCAAACCGGTCGGACAGTCGACAATCGGTGCTGGCGGCGCAGACTGTCCCATGTTTCGTATGTTGGACGCGGTCTGCGGCAAAGCAAAGGACCCCACGGGAGATGTACTGGTCACGGAGCTGGAAATGCGAACCCGACACTTTCCGCCTACCATTCGTGGACTGATTAACAAGATTGCTGCATCATCATCCGTACGGAATTATATCGCGTCTGGGAATGCTGGACCCAGGCTGTCGCAAGCATTCCGTGTCTTTCAGCAACTCCTTTACGACTTGTATGAAATGCATCGAAAGAAAGCGATGAGAATCGTGCTGGCTCTGCGAGCAGGTCAACTATACACATCATCAGGCACGCAGAATGCCCAGTCTCCAGAATGGCACATATCCAACACCCTACGGAAAGCAATGATTGTACGATTTGGGGACGACCCGGCTTCGAGACGGATTCCTGCAACAGCAGTCCCTGTTCACCATGAACCGTCTTCTGTACAGCCTGCCGAGTCGGCCATCATCAGGCTTGACTTTGATGCGCCCATGGTCCTTGCAGCAGGAGATGCAATGTCGGTTACCGTTCACAGCGCCGACTTTGGCTACGAGACACGTACATTTTCCATCACAAAGACATACGAAGCCCCAGGCTTTGACACTGCCAGCGACGATGACTTGCACGCTGCAAAGTCTGTGGAGATTTGCTGTCGAAGTGCCGGTCTTGTTTCATCATTCATATGCCAGCAGCAAAATGCATTCCCAGTCTCTATCGCTCTATCCCCTAGCCCGCATTTTCGAATCCGAGCAAATCAAAAGACAGAAGAGACTTCTCTCTTCATTGCCCAAAATGGTGGGCTTGGTGTTTTCCTTGGCTGGCTCTCCCGACGTGAGACCCTAGTTGGCAGCTATACATTGGTGATTGGCGCTCAAAACCTGGACCGCCTCATATACACACAAGAATTGTTCAGCGTCATGAGCAGGTTCAAAGCCAACCTGAGAGTCATCTTGTGTCTGTCAAGGCCTGACGATCAAGATGAGAGGTTACTTGCTGAGAATGGATGCCAATCCTGCCATGGCAGAGTCCCAGCTGTGCTTGCAGATCTTCGCTGGGCGAGGTCTGCGCCAACCTACATTTGCGGATCGTCTGAATTTGCACTGGGCGTGGCTGAAGTCTTGCGCCGTCCTGTGAAAGACCAGAAAGTCATGGAGAATCCGCGAATCAGCAAGATTAATACTTCGAGTATGCCTGACTTGCACTTGCATGTCGCGGCTGCAAAGCCGAATATTGCTGAAGTGAATGCTCAGGCAATGCGCATCATATCGCAATCTGAATTGGCTCTTCACAATTCACCAGGGGACATTTGGATTTCCTTGGGCGAAACTGTCTATGACATATCAGTATTGTCGACTTTTCATCCGGGTGGAGAAAAGACATTGTTGTGCAGAGCAGGCTTGAACGCGGATGACATGTTCAACTCGGTCCATAAAGGAAGCCATGAAGTCATGTCTCTCCTCGCTCCTATGGCAATTGGCAAATTGGAAAAGAAGAAGGAAGCCAATGTCGAGGGTGAAAAAATTCTCGATATTCTCGTCCAGGCACAAAACGATTTGACAAACTCAAGTCGATTTGAGCAGCGCCCAACAGGGTCAGTCCAACGACTTGACCAAGCGCCGCCCTCTGAGCTGGTTCGCAGCTCTCTATCTCAGTTCTGCAAGGTGTGGAAAGAACTGCTTACAAGATGCAGTGCGCCGGCGCACATGTCTGACCTACTCACGACCGGGATTGAGTCGTTTGAGAAGCGGCTGGCCGAGAGGCAAGACACTCTCTACAAATCGGTCTTTTGGGACCAGGAGCGATGCGCATTAGGGCTTCGCGATATCTTTGATAATCACAGAAGTGCAGTTGTCAAGATACACGACATGATTGACGAAATGAAACTCACGGCTGCGAAATTGCATTTATCGGTGGAGGAATGGGCTATGCTTTTCGAGAAGGCGACGCCAGTCATCACCGCAGCATTAGGTGACGCAATTTAAAGATAAGGGGTGTTGCCAAGTAATAATAGGGAGGTAATAATTGGCTTTTGGCTGTTGCGGTGGTGTTTCATGCATTATAAGCAGTTTAGCGCGATACCTTAATTTTTGGGGATAACCACATATACGGAGTAATGGAAAACAATTTCATCTTTGACTTTTATTTTTTTTTGTTTCTTCAACCTGCTGTGTGCCATTGCCGCTGCCGCTGCCGCTGCCGCTGCCACTGCCGCCCGCGTGTCTGCCTGCGCGGCTCTCTTCATAGGCGCCAATTGAATCAAAGAAGACGCATTTGTGCATAATTGATTGACTATTCAATTGCTTTCAAGAGCGCGGCGGCGCTGGCGGGGGAGGAACTTGCGGCTCGCTGGTAGGGGTAGTTTGAAGTCCCCACGTTCTTACTACTCGAAGGAGCGCAACTTCTGGTTGAATCAGAATCGTCATTTCTTCTAGACGCGCGCGAGGCTTTATTCGATTTTGTGTCGTCTGTTCTGAGGGTGTAGATGTACTGCAGGACTCTACAGATCGGGCTGTACACGACGACACACCCTACCGCGGACTCGTGAGGCAAAGGGCTCTCGCATTTCAGAATACGACGTCAGTGCTCATATCGAAATGCGACATCAGACCAAGCACAGGATTTCAAACAGGCTTCTTCTCCTCGTAGCCCTGCCCGTCCAACGTCAATCAATTTATTCTAGCGCCGCTCTGCTTCCACCCCGGCTTGCTGCCGGCACTGACATTGTTTTCGATGAGTCTACGCCAATTCTGAAATCATCATTATCTCTCATTTGCATCTATACGAGTCGGCTGAGATTGACCTAGCCCTGTCCGTGTGGGAGAGTTTCGTTCACCCTACCCAAGTCCTCGTGCATGAAGAGACAGGCTTGCCTCCAGAGTGCGATCCAATACTGGCAGCATAGTTTGTTCCTCAACCATCATCCCGTATCTCAACAGTCTCATGACATCTTCTATCAATCTTGACCTACAGAAATCTCACGTCTAAACCGCTCAAAATGCAGTTTATGAAGCTTACTTCCGGCGCCATCGCTGTCATTTCAATCCAAGCCGCCGTCCAACCTACGGCCCGCGATCCCTACCAGTTCAACGAGCTCAACCTACCGCTGCCGCAAAACCCAATGCCATCTTTGCAGCCAGGAACTCAGCAAGAAGATTACGCGGAGACCCGGCGACGACTACACCGAGGCGACGTGGACCGAGCTCGCCAAAAAGTTGTGCTTTGACACATCCAACTGCACCAGGGTGAATTCATAGCTCTGGAAGTTGCGAAACTGAGCAAAGACATGGGTGACGACGGCTAACATGATCCATGTAGTTGGACCTTGTGGTGCTTTGAATGGTACCGGTGATTCGACGTACTAGTTTGCCTACCTCTATGCTGGACCTACCTCGAACATTAACGACTGGGAACACTTTGAGGGCGCTCCAACCTCTCACCAGCGCATTCTCACTTCTATTATGGACTAATGCAACGGCGGAAGGATAAATGATGCCATTATGCTTGATTATTTATTACTGGGTTTAACACATGGGCCGAATGCACCTGGATGCCTTCTCATACGAGTATCCGCGCAGTGCGTTTCCTCCGGTTTCTTCCACTTGGAACCCCCCCAGCCTATGTAAATGCTGACAATGGTACTGTACCGTTGATGCAAGCAAATGTTCTTAACTTACCAAGTCACCTTGAAGCCGATTGGAACCGGGTTGCGTACTATTATGCGCCTTGTATTTCGTCACGAGGTCATAGGCTTTGCGTAGACTGTTATCTCGTGCGCGCGCAATGTTGATGGATCTAGAATTGAATCTAGCAGATGGCCTCATCAACGCTTCGCATCGGCACCAAATAGAGAACAGCTCCTCCATCAGCCGCAGAATGCCATCATCTTTTGAATGATAAGCATTGTGGTCTATTGGTTGAATGGCGACGCCACACAATCTGGCGCGGCGGATAAATAGTCAAGATACGACGGAAAGCCCGCACACGCCAAGCACCATTTATTAGTCAATGCAGCCCACGTATGGCGTGTGATCGGCATCTGGTGTAGAAAAAATGCTCGAAATAAATGGTCTGAAAGTCTCTACTCCGCTGACCTCTAGTCGTTGCACTGCGGGCGTTTCATCTCAACCCCGGTTGCGTGATTCGGCGACTTCGTGCCGTCATAGCGTCTCCCATTGGGTAGCCAATGGCGGCATCACCCGCCGCCAGACCTGTCGTTGCAGATTTTCTAATATATATATATGTCGTCGATCAAATGTCTCGAATGATTTAATCTGTCTCACATCTGCTTATATACAGTAGCCATGGGTTGGACAGAGCGGCTACGGCCCTCCAAGGAGCCCGCCGTCACGACTGTTTACACGCAGAGCAACGACTCCAGCCCTAATGCATCCTCCGAGGACCAGCCCAGCGTCATTTACGACGGCGAGCTGACGTTTAACCGCGTCAAGGGTGGAAATGGCTCGGGCGCGGCATACCAAGAAGCAGCTGGTGCGCCAGTCGAAAGCAACTCGCCGCTGGGATACCATGTCGGCTGGGCCACCATCATCTTCCTCAACATTAACCAAATGATTGGCACTGGTATCTTCTCAACCCGTAAGCGCTTCCGAAATTTCCAGAGACCAACAAATGCCAGTCAATTAACAACGGCTCAGCTGGAAGCATTCTCAATGCTACGGGCTCGGTCGGCCTCGCACTTATATACTGGGTCATTGGCGCCATCATGGCCGTCGCTGGCTTCGGCACATATCTCGAGCTCGCAAGCTATTTTCCCAATCGTAGCGGGTCTCAAGTCGTCTACCTCGAGCAGGCATACCCGCGACCGAAATACTTCCTACCCATTGCTTTCGCCGTACAGTCTGTGATTCTCTCATTCAGCAGCAGCAACGCAGTGGTCTTGTCGCGCTACGTCTGGCGTATCGCGGGTAAAACGCCTACGGATTGGGAAATGAAAGGTGTCGCCATCGCTGCATATACGGCTGCCGTCATTTGTACGTCCGTCCTAAAATCCCCTGTGATAACCTAGTTTCCCCCGCTGACTCTGTAGGCGTCATTGTGCATAACCGATACTCCCTCTGGACTGTCAATGTGTTGGGCGCTTTCAAGGTTGCGACCCTGATCTTCATCAGCATCACTGGATTCGTCGTCCTCGGCGGAGGAGTTGGCCGTGTTCCTCAACCGGGCGCCAACTTCAGAAATGCTTTCCAGGGCACCACCAACAACGGCAACGATCTTTCTACCGCGCTCGTTAGCATCGCTTTCTCGTATAGCGGCTATCAGAATGCATTCAACGTCGTCAACGAGATCAAAAATCCCGTGCGCACCATCAAAAAGCACGGTCTCATCTCTGTTGCTATTGTTTCTGTCCTGTACATGCTCTGCAACATTGCGTACTTTTCTGCTGTTGACAAGGAGGCATTTGCTCAGTCCAAGGAGATTGCTGCTGCTGTCTTCTTCACCCAAGTTTTTGGCTCGGGCGCGGCAGAGACCGTCTTGAACGTTTTGGTACTTCTCAGTGCATACGGCAATCTGCTGGCGGTATTAATTGGCCAGTCGCGCATGATTCGAGAAATCGGACGGCAAGGAGTCCTGCCGGGCACCAACTTTTGGGTGTCGACAAAGCCGTTTGGGACGCCAATTGGGCCATATGCGCTGAAATGGGCCATGACGTTTATTATGATTGTTGCACCACCAGCTGGCGATGCCTTTACGTTTGTCGTCTCTTTGCAGACTTACCCGTAAGTTGACACTGCATCATTTGTTTTGATTGCTCCGGACTAACCGAAGCAGTGATAGCATGTTTGTCTTTGCCATGGCGATTGGTGTTTTCATCCTCCGGCGCCGGCGCAAGAAGAACAATATTCCCAGATCGCAGTTTCAAGTCTGGGATATTTTGCTTATTTTCTTTACTCTGATTCAAGTATTCATCTTGGTCATGCCGTGGTGGCCCCCCAAGGGAGGTCCGTACGCTGGCGACGTTAGCTTCTGGTACGCCACTTACTGCGTCGTTGGCATCGGCATGTAAGTACCTAGCAATTTCCTCTTGAAACTGCAATTACTGACACAGATATCAGCGTTATCCTCTGCGCGCTATACTACGTGGCATGGATGTATGTACTCCCCAAGTGGCTAGGGTACAGAATACGCGCAGAGACCGTGACAGCAGAAAATGAGACGACTGCCACGCACAGGCTTGTCAAGGTACCTTTAGCAGAAGTCGCGCAATGGGATGCAGAGCATACTGAGTCTGGGGAATTGCAACGCTCGGGCACTAGGACGGAGTCTGATAGTGCTAAAGAGCAGGAACGCCAGAGTAAACAAGTTGACCTTTGAACTGTTACAGTCAGGACCGTATATGCTGGTGCTGTCACAGTAAGCAATGATAGATATCTGCTGAGTTTATTCTTCTGCCAACCCTGCCGCTGTTAGTGTGAGGCCACTCAAAATATATAGTTTGTGAGTCGAAACCATCCCGTTCCGGTCGGCAAATTATGCTTCTTGATACAAGGTAATTTGATAGAAACTGTAAAATATACAGGTAAATTATAAAACTACTAAAATCATATTTTAGTCGAGTTTATAGTGGCTCGGCAAGCTGCCCTACGTACCTAACTCAGCATAACAGCTCAAGGCATTTTTATAGCTTACCACGCCTACGTCTTTAGCGTGTTGAATAGCAGAATAGCTGCTACCAGCAGACAGGTCAGAGGATAAAGACGATGAAATAATTATAACGGACATTAAAAAATGCATTGAGCTTGAATGTCAGATTGCGTCTTGATATTAGACTTGGATGGCAATTCCACGTCTACCTAATACCTACACAAATGCAGATACGAGCGTACTCCAGCACAGTTTAGGGACATATTCACTACCTACCTATTTATACTTTACAGGCGCTAGACATCAACTAAGCTCTCTAAGATATAAACTCTAGAGTCGTGCACCTACTTATTAGTACCATCTCTTATTACTTGGAAGGTCGCGTCACCTAACCAACACCTAAAACAGAGCTAAAATACCAGAGTCGCGATTCCTCACGCAGCTGTTATTGATCTATCTTTAAACTCATTTAACGCGTAATATATGCATTGCAATTAGTGTACAATGTGTCGCAAGGACTAAAAAGTGTTTATCTGATCTTTCGAGAACCCAACTTCTTGTAATATGCCACGAGATGAGCGGTCACCGACCAAACTTTTCTCCATGGCCGGCGGGCCGCAAACAAAAACCCTAGTCTCATGCTGCTTACCATTCGGCAAAGCCCTCTTTAGTAAATCGCCTGTGACATATCCCTTCTCGTACTTGGAGCCCTCTTCCGGATGGCTCACAGCATGAACAGCTTTGAACCTTCCTGGGAATCTTTCTTCCCAGGCTGTCATCTCCGCCTTTAAAAGCACGTCTCGGTCACTGTTTGCACCATACACGAGCGTGACCGCGGTTTGATCATTGCGATTCTCCAGAATTCCCTGTGCCAGCTGATAGCAGGGAGTAATTCCTGCACCGCCTGCGATGAGCAGGACGTGAGGGACGGCGTTTGCTTTCCATTGAGGCCCTTTGAGCGTGGCGAGGAAGAAAAGGGATTGACCGGGCGAGAGAGAATGGATGTGTGTACTCGCTTTGCCTTGGGGATATCGCTTGATCAGAAGTTCTACAATCCCTGGTGTATCTGTGCAGATGAGATCAGTCCCGTGTTTTGTTTGCCATAGATTGCAAGTAAGGCGGATAGGTCCAATCACCTACCGGAGCGACTGATGGGTGTGTAAGGGCGAATAACGGGGAACCAATGACCGGCAGGCCAGGAAAAGGTCAGAAGCGCAGCTGTACCACAGTTGATTAGAATGGGCAATCAAAAAATGTACAAGTTCTGATGCGCTCACATGTAAGAGGCAAACCACTGACTGCACTCGACTCTGCCAGTTTAAATCGTAGTCTTTTTGTATCGTGAGATACCATATCGGATTCTTCCAAGGGAAGCGAGCATAGCGCAAGTCCGCCGCTGAAAATCTTGCGTGGTGCTGCTGGCGAGTCCAGCCGGGCGCTCGTACTGAACTTTCTTGACCCAACAGCAATTACCATGCTGGCGCCTGCAACGGTGCCGAGTAGAATACTCAGCGTTCGGGGGGTTACCTTGGAGACCATGGTTGAAGAATGTAACATGGATGTGGGAAGCAAGTCCAAGGTGCGCGTTGCCATTGACGTGAGCTGTGAAGAGCTGCTCCTGCCGGGGCCGACGAAGTGAGACGCGAGCGCTTGGTTGAGTTTTATGTAGTCGCCGATGGTATCCACGAGTTGTGCTGGTATTGCGTTAGTTAGCTGAGTCCCCTTGCCCTGTGCGTAGGTGCATTGCCTGATGAATCGGCTTTGCGGGCATGCCGAGAGCGATGGTGTAACGACTTGGCCGAGTATGCGGGACCAGGCTAATAATAAAGTTTTGCACATGGATCTTGGGCAGAGGCACCAATATCTGCATGCGGAAACTAACAACAGCGCTGTCTCGTTAGAAAACTTGGTCTATGAGGCAACCATAGGCAATTGGTGACGAACAGGTTGTATTGTATCTATTGTGGTTAATCTAAAACCGGCACGAACCCTGGAATTTGTTCCAAGCAATGACCCGATCGGACAGTCGCTGATCGTGCACTCGCGGCGGCTCAAAACAAGCTTTCTTTCTTCTACGGAGTACTAAATTCTGATCAACATCTCCACTATTTGCAATAACAGTACTCGTAGTCGATTTCCTTTTGGTGCTATTTAAGTGGCAGGACACCTCTCTCGGACAAGTCCAATTGCCGAAGAAGCAATAACAGGGGAGGGGCCGGAATAGCTGCCGGACAAGCCTACAACCCCGAAGGAGAAAAATCAACTACAACAAGAGGGTCAGAGTAGAATGGGAGGACCCCATCGACGGGACCGAAGACACTAACAACAGGTAGCCGTCGGGACCGAACGGCAGGCTCAGCCGTGTGGGACTTGAGCCTGCTTTTGGAAGGGACCTACCTAGTGAAGTGTATTTAAACCCTTTCCGGCGAATGAGTGCACCTGGAAGTTGGGGAAAGAATATAAATGACCTGCTAGGACAGCCGCTCCTTTATTTTTTTTTTAAAAAAAAAAAGAACGAAAGAAAAAGTTTCTTCATTGCTGAAATCATGTCAAATTCATTCACTTCCGCCTCCTTACCCGCCGTAGCAGGCATTCTGGGCTCCGCCTGGACATCAGGTTAGCTCAAGCACAATATGCCAATACTGAGGAATTTACTGACTTTTGGCTCTAGGTGCCATCGCCTCGCTTACTTTGGTTGGCATACCTACTGCACGGGCTATTCCACAGTCGTCGACACAAATTTGGCATGGCCTATTCCTTCGAGGCATGGCCTTGTTGCCCAAGGTTGCCATCGGTACAGCCCTTTCATATGTGTACGCTGCGTACAACAACCACGATCAAAAGAGCATGAAAGGGTATCTTGTAGCTGCCGGCTTAGTCGTCTCCATTGTTCCTTTTACCATCATTTTCATGGGTTCGACGAATGCGGCTTTGATCGGTTCGGCTTCGGGTACATCGCCGCTTAAGCAGGCACAAGCTCTGGATTTCATTCGCAAGTGGGGATACCTGAATCTCACAAGGAGCGTGTTGCCATTGACTGCTGCGGCAGTAGGGCTCAGAGCTTTGTTTAATTAGTTATTGGGTTGTAATATAGTAATATAACAGTGTGAAATTGTCGGTCAGCTCGTGTTTCGAGCCTAGCAATTATGCCAGTTGTCTGTCTAAACGTGCTCCTGACTCTTAGAATATCACAGCCATAGAGACATTTACTACATTTTCAAGTCCTCCAGGCATATGTCAGAATAAGACCATGTTGATGTAACTTATATCACAAACGGAGACTTGCTCTCGCGCATATCACTGCAGCCTCGATCAATCGGATACAGCACAGTTCGCATACGCGGGAACTCGTGGGTCACAAACCTGTGGGCAGAACGCCATCCGGCTCTCGGTACCGTGCCGATCACAGCGGACTTCGGTTCTCCCTTGCGCTCCGAAGATTTTTGAAGCGTCGAAAATCGGATGACACTTGTGTTTTCGGTCAGATGGTAGATATGCGCCACTCTCTGGTGGAACGCGTTGCCTATAATCCTAGATACGCAAACCAACTATGGGACTTGTTGGGAACCCCGAGATACTGCTTTTTCTCACGTCCTGAAGAAAAGTTCCACAGACGCCGCTCTTGCCATGTACTTTAAGAAATGTAGATTAAATTTCTTTGTTGCTCTATGTAGCTGTCCTGGAAAACAGCTTGCTGTGGAACTAATACAGACTCGCCGTGGAGAGACTGAAATTCAGAAAAAAAAAAAAGAAAAAGAAAATAGAAATCAAACTTCTATTTTGTCAAAATACCACAGATTGCATTAGAAACAAAACAGTGTCACCAATCCAGCCAATGAAGCTAATGTATGCTATGCCGTGCAAATGTTGTCAACGGCAACCCTCTGAAGAACATGCGGATAGGCAACAGTCCCTGGGGGGTATTGGAGCAAGGCAGCCTGAAAATCTTGGTTCTCGAACCCCTCGCGAAGCGCTTCGGCAGATTCCCAGATGGCAACATTGACGAGAACATTGCTAGATCCGGTACCCCGATGCAGCTGAGTCGAAATAAAGCCTGGGGTTGCTTTCATTATGGAAGCTTCCTTGCGCCATAGCTCAATTGCGTTGAGCATTTCGCCTTCGGGAACCACAAATGTGTTGACAAGTGTGATAGGACCGGATTCGTTCTTCTCCTGGAGCTGCTGGAGAAAAGGTGTTTGCGGATCAATGTCACGCAAGATATTTGGTTGTACTGTAGCCTGACTAGTCATTATGCGGTGCAGTCGTAGAGATTTGTTCAAAATCAAGTATCGGATAAATCGAGGTTGTGCAAGTGTGAAACAAGGGAAGATACGAGCCGATTTATACCTTTGTTTCAAGACCTTCAAGTGCCATTGTACACCCGCCGGTATAGTTGCGCTCCAAGGTACAGGCCCCAGAGCAAAGATTCCATCAAGTCGGTCTTGCAACCAGCACACACTCGACAGCAGCACTCGGTCACGGCACCAGAGGTCGACTACGACACTAGAACTCGGTCCCGATACCAACACTTGGTCCCGACATCAACACTCGGTCCCGATATCAACCCGATTTCAACATCAACCCGACCCCGAGATCAACCCGGACCCCGAGATCAAGACAGCCCCGGCATTAACATGGCCCCGGCACGAACACGGCCCCGGCAATAATACGGTCTCTAAACCAGTACACATCTAATATACACAAACTCGATCTTCACAATTTATATATAGTTCATCTATAGTTCATCTGGCCGGCAAATTGTGTCTTCCTACATGCGACCAGGAAAGTTCACGGCCGAATCTAGTTAGATCTATTAATCTAGAAAGTCTCACAGCATGGCATCTGACCTCCTTCAAGCCGAGCCTAGCCTCCGCCGAGTTACATTTATGTGGTCAAAGGCTTACGATACCAAGGCATGTTGATACGATTCCCTGACACATTACTATGTCAATAGCGATTGCTAATAATACTAGGACTGGGATCTTTTGGCGTCGATCTGTGCCGACGAGATGTGGATCTGCTACGACAAACTGAACATGGGTATCAGCAGCCAGAAGATGCCCAAGGAGGACTTTATAGCCATGCTTAGTAGCTCTCACTTGCTAGGAAATCCCAAAGGTAAAGGAGAAAATATCGCCAAAAATATTTCCAAGGTCTGTTACTGATGTGCTTAGTCTCTACACAACATTTTCTTGGGAATGCTCTATTCGAAGCGGTCCAGGCAAAGGAAAGCGAAATCAATGTCGTCTGTGGCGAGTGGCAGATTATGGCCAGCCACCAGCGAGTTTTGCCAGATAGCGAGATGAAATGCTGGTTGTCTCAGGGTTATTTGAAGCACTTTTACCAGAGGGTGGGAGCAGAGTGGAAGTTGTACGGCATAGAGCCGAGCATCGTGCTTATGAATGCTCAAGGGGTGATTGAAGACATCTTTGTACTACAATAACTAAATAGTATTCCCGTCTTTCACGCATCAAATTAGATCTAGGGTTGAGGTTGGTCACTATTCAGCGCAACGACCCATCGACGAACGTTCTGTCCGTCAGCATTGTGCTCGTTCCGCTTGTTGTCCGTGTGTAAGATGGGATGACCCTGATTTAGATACATTAGATACAATGCAAAGCTATTCGACTTAAACTAACCTAAGCTAGAATTAAATAGACTTAAACTGTTTATTTATAAGCCCGCCCCCTTTTTTCTTCTTTTTCTTTTATTCTTATTTAATTTCTAGGTGTTTCTGGTATTTCTGGTTTTATTAGTGCTACTATACCTGTACCGTGAGATAATTTATCGTACCAGAGCCACCTAGAAGACTAATTAGTCAGGCAAGAAACCCTGGAAGGCAGCCCATTGCCGAGCGCACAATCATTACTCGGCGGAGACAATGCGACACGCGCTCAATATGGAATTTTGGCCAAGATTGGTTCCGTACCTGCTCATCATTGGCTCGGAGTGAAGTGGGGACTGCTATCATCGGCACAATGGAACACGCCGATCAAGGCAATTCCTCACGCTCTCCGTATAATTATAGTTTTTGAAAAGCCTGATAGTCTTTCTCCGAGCTGTCTACCCTTTGCGCGAGATGTGACATCTCACCAGCCAGTGTGACGGAGAGACAGTTTTGGAGACCTGAAGTTGCCTGACCTCAGAGTAGCGCAACTCGCGGAGAAAGATGTTCTAGTAGGAGAAACGACTTTTCTAATTAGTACTTGATCTCACAAAGAGCCTATAAAATGTTGTATTTATGGCCAGAAGAGCTCGAGCTATTTTCACGCAACGGTTCATTCAGGGCCTTTGCAGGTACGACGCCAACATTTTCATTTCACCATGGTTGTCACAAGCACTCTGTCGCGCTTGGACGCTTCAAAGCTGCAGGTGTTGCAACTGAGCAATCCTAAATCCGTGCCCGGTCCTGATGATGGCTCCATCTTCGACCTCAAAACCACTACTGATCGCATGATTACGGTTTCATGGACTGCCCAAAACGGCTGGGCCAACCCCCAGTTGGTACCATACGGGCCTCTGTCCCTAATGCCCACGGCCAGTGCGATACAGTACGCCACCGAATGTTTTGAGGGAATGAAGCTCTTCCGAGGCCATGATGGTCGTCTTCGATTATTCCGCCCTCTTTACAACTGCCAAAGAATGCTGAGGTCTGCTGAACGAATCTCGCTACCCAGCTTTGAGCCTGAAGAGATGCTCAAGCTTATTCGTCGGCTTTGCCTCATGGAAGCGCCCAAGTGGCTGCCAAAAGATCGAATCGGCTCAGCGCTATACATACGGCCAACCATGATTGGCACCGACAGTAGTCTGGGCTTCAAAGTCCCCGAGGAAGCACAGCTATGCATCTTTATGCTGTACTGGCCCTCGCCCAGCATGATTCCCGACAAGTCCCTGCCTGTATCTAGACGTGGAATGAGACTCGTCACAAGTAGCAAGACTGCCATCCGCTCATGGCCAGGCGGCACCGGACAGGCCAAGATTGGCGGCAATTACGGCCCCACGCTGCTCGAGCACAACAAGGCGAGGGCAAGGGGCTACGATCAGGTCTTGTGGCTGTATGGCCCGGATCGTCGCATCACAGAAGCTGGATCGACCAACTTTTTCGTACTCTGGAAGACGCCCACAGGAGACGAGGGGCTAATCTTGGCTGGAAACACGCGACAGACGATTCTGGAGCTCTTTGAGACCAGCTTTGAGACGCTGGAGCCAAATTCGCTTGAGCCCTGCAACGTGCTAGAGAAGAGGATCACTATGCCGGAAATTGAAAGTGCTGTTGCGCAAGGCCGCGTGCTTTCTGCATTTGTGGTTGGAACAGCGGCGTGGATCCAGGAGGTGGAAGAGATTAATGTCGATGGCCGGCAGCTTCGAATCAACGTTGGTCAAGCACCCCATGTGTCTTTTGTTCGCGAGAAGCTAGCTGGAATTATGCTGGGCCAAGTTGAAAATGGCTGGGCTGAGGTAGTGGATGAGGAAGCGAATTTTGGAGATGAATAACCTCGTAGCGAACCACGATTTATCAGTCTGCTGATTCATGTTATATAAATTGATGGATACCTGTATTTTGACGCTTAGATATCTATTATTAAATTTAGCTCATGGTTTCAAGCTAATGTTGCCAACATGCACTAAATAGGTGACGTGCTCGCTATATTAGAGGCGACCCGTAGTAAAGAAGAATCTACCTACAGTGGGTGTAGTTAGGTACCAGGTATAGGTGAAGAAGTCGGCGCTCCTTGCAGGCTCTTGTGCCGCTATCAAAGCCTACCTAAGCTTCTATTTCTTGCCCTATTTGACCGCCCTGCACCAGATCCCCAATGGGGGGGCCTGCGGCAGGCGACGCCACTACTGTAAGGCACCGACTGTACCTGCCTGTTTTTGATTCTATTTCAGAGCATCGCTCACCCCGCGCACGCCCGAATCTGAGCACGATCACGAGAAGTGCCTAGGTAGCCATCGATATTCGGCCATGCTAAGACCGCTACCTCCTCGCAGGCTCGCCGCCTGTGACCCCTGCCGCTCCAGGAAGCTGGCCTGCGATCATCAGCGCCCGGTGTGCACCCGGTGTCGTACTCACAAGCGGCAAGACAGATGCTCGTATAGGTCTATGCCCTTTAAAAAAAATGGCAGTGCTGCGGCAGGCTCATCTCTTGCGCCACCGCTACCAGATCGAGGTCAAGCTGCCGATGGTGGGTGAGTGTGCAACGATTTGTTGAACTGTGCCGTTTCTCGGGGCTTGTTTAAAGGTCTAATTTTTCATTGGCTGCTTTCTTGCATCTTCTGCAATGCGGAGATAATATCTGTGACTAATTTCTCAAAGAACAGTTCAGGGAGTCTTGAGCGTGCCCAGTGCCGACTCATCATCGCAATCACGAAAGGAAACAGCTTCACCCGCATCCCGACGATACCCCAATCCGGGCTATCTGGGTTCTTCCAATCATACAGCTCTCTTCAATCAGCTAGAGCTCGATCGTGACTCACTCATTGGCGCCAGATTAGATGGGCACGACCACGAGGAGCTGCCAACCCGGTCAACCTCTGATGCGAGCATCTCTCTGGGCGAGGATATTTTAGAGCATCTCTCCCGAGTCTGCCCACTTGCAATATGTATTAAACTGGCCAAGGCATGGCTAGATACTGGGGCTAATCTACCACTGGGTCATGCTTTCACTGCAGCATCGGTGCAAGCTGTAGAGAACCTCACCACAGATCCCGGCGATCGTGTCAGCCTGTCTAAACAGCTACTCCACAATTCATCCCTCCCGCTTGAGGCGTCTTCTGCGTCAACTGGAAGGGGCGATGCTACGATATTCAATTTCGGTGCTCCCCGCTGGGAAAACATTTGTTTATTCTTCATCTCTGTGGCTCGGGCTACCTTGGTCATCCCCTACTTACATCCCGCCTTGCGCTTGCGGGAGCAAAGGCACCGAATCATGAGACTAGCTATGCGTTACGCGTGCCAGAGTCTTGACCTCTCGCTCTCCCTGGACTGCTTGAACGACCTCCAGCTCGTCTCACAGTACGAAAACTTTTTGTTGCATTCGATTGTAGATGGCGATGAAAGTGAGTCTTGTCAAAGTCTCACGAAAAACTCATGTCTGACCTACACCACATAGACTTTGGATGTTACAGAAAGCTAGGGGATGTTGCAAGCTCCGTATTCACTCTTGGCTATCACCAAGAAGTCGCCTGTGATGCGTCTCTGCCAGCCGCTCTCAGGTTCACTCGTCGGGCTGCATTCGCACACGCTTATTCTGCTGACAAAAATGTCTCCATTTTCCTGGGGCGCCCCCCGCGACTCTCTAAGCGCCTTTGTCATTTTCCACCAATTGGTCTCGAAGCATATTTCTCGCATGAATGGGCTGAAAGCACCACATTGGACTTTTACGAAGAGGCTCGCTGGGCAGCTATGTGCGCAGCACTCAAGGAGGACTGTCTTGAACTACTCAAGGAGAAAGGGAACAGTAATATTGAAAAGAAAGCAAGGTATGACATTGGGCGAGAAAGCTGATTAGACCAAGGCCTCTGATGTTATCCAGACATATTCGAGAAACAGCCGCGTTACAGTGGTCATCCCTTCCGCAGTGTTTCCGACTGGAGGCCCGACTGAGATCTTATGATCGGGCCCCTATGGAGCTCGACCTACTATTGGGTGTCAAGTTGAACCATCTTCATGTGGTGTTTCTTCTCCAGTTCGCCCTCCTTCGCAACATCAAGGAGCCGGATGCGGCTATTGTCAGGGTATCAGCAGAGATATTAGAGCTCGTGGTTGAAGCCCTACTGCTAAGAGAGCGGATCATCGATTCCGGCACTTCCCTTGTATGGAAGGTGTGTTCACGACCTGTGTTTCAGAAAATTTAGCTAAACGACAGATTCGTGGCACTTACTTACTATGGAAACAGGTCGTCTATTATGGCCTTTCAGCGGCGGGCATACTCTGTCTTGCGTTACTGCGGCCGTCGTTCTTGTTTGTACAAGAACATATCGATGCTAGCCAGATTCTTAGAGACCTAGCCGTTCTGACAGGAGTGGTCGAGAAGGGCAGCCTCGTTGATGCAGAGGATGCCAATTATGCATTACTAGCAGCAGCCATCAAAGCCATCAAAAGCGTCCTTGACCGCGTTGATCTGAACAGCCTCAACTACGGCTCTCCCAGGCAGACAATGGAAGAGTCCACTGCCCCAGACCCAACGGCAGCTTCGAACGGATCTTGGGATTCATGGTACTTTAACTACTTCCAAGACTTGCAGAACCCCTTTTGGCAAACGATTGCACAGGGCCATATTGATCCAAGCAGCATTTCCGAGGTGCTGGCCGATCACGAAACTTGAGGTCCCATATTCGTGACGGAGTGTTGGCGACGGTGGGACTTTGAGGCCCCCGACATGAAAATCCGACATGAAAATGGTGTGGTGAGCTAATTCGCGGGCAAGGTTTACGAGAAACTGTCTCGGCTGTTTTTTTTTATCAGTGTTCGCGGCCGGTATTGGGGCGCGGATGACTTTACGCCGATGAGAGTCTCGGATACGGAGTAGTGCTCGGAGACGTGGTTCCGACACCACTCCACCCTCTGGTGCAGGCACAAATGAACAGGCATTGAAAACCATTGAAAGGTCCATGTAGATCTTACCATCATGCGCCTCACATTTTTGATGCTCGACTGACGACAAGATGACGGCCAACATCACCATCGCAGAGTATCTTTTCCAACGCCTGAGCCAGTTGGGCGTCAGATCTATTCATGGCGTCCCTGGTGACTACAACCTTCCGCTCCTCGACTACATCAAACCTGCCGGATTGCGTTGGATTGGTAACGCCAATGAGCTCAACGGTGGATATGCAGCCGATGGCTATGCCCGTATCAAGGGTCTTGGGGCCCTTGTGACCACATTTGGTGTAGGCGAGCTGTCGGCAATCAATGCCATCGCAGGAGCTTACGTTGAGCGCAGCCCTGTGGTCCACATCGTTGGATGCCCTGCTAGGTCTGCTCAGAAGTCACGAACCAATCTTCATCATACCTTCAACGACGGTGACTTTTCCCGTTTCGCCGCTATGCATAGCTACGTTACCATCGCACAAGCCAAGCTATGGGACGTCCGCACTGCTGCAGAGAATATTGACCAAGTTCTTCGCCAGTGTCTCATCCACAGCAGACCTGTCCATCTCCAGATCCCAGTTGATATGGCGGATGCTCAAATTTCCGACGAGAGGCTGCAAATAGACCTTTCCGCTCAGGTTTCCGGGCCCATGCGCCTCGCTGACGCCGCTATTGACTCCATCCTCGACAGGCTATGCACCGTGAAGCGCCCTATCATCTTGATAGATGGCGAGGTTCGCGACCTTGTGGTTGTTGAGGGGATTAATCGCATCGTCACCTCAACCAAATGGCCGACTTGGGTAACCTGCTTCTCCAAGGGGCTGGTGGACGAGACGCTTGCCAACGTCCACGGCATTTACCAGGGAGATTTTGCCCCTGAGGCATCACAGAATCTTTTCAAGGAATCTGACCTGATTCTCTGCGTTGGGCCGCATTTCAGCTCGGCCAACACGTTCAATTTCTCGGCTCTTCCTGATCCCAAGACGACAGTTTTCATCAATGAAACTGATGTCAAAATTCTGGGAGAGACGTTTGAGGATGCGCCTGCCAAGTACGTCATTCCTCTGCTAGCCAAGGAACTTGGCCAGAGAAAGTTTGAGAACGCTCACCAGCAATATCCTGAAATCCCCAAGGATAGCGTAATCCCGTTTTCGTCTCTACCCAAACACCAGCCCGTCACCCAGGACAAGATCTGGCGTGCACTCGGCAATATGCTCCGTCAAGGAGATGTTGTCCTGGGCGATGTCGGCACAGCGGGGTACGGCCTGCGTGATATTCTCCTGCCTACTGCGGCAAGAATTCTCCTCCCAGTTACCTGGCACTCTATTGGCTGTCAGCTGCCAGCGTCACAGGGTGTCGCCTTGGCCCGGAGAGATATAGTGGAATCATCGGGGGGAAAGGGCAATACCCGCACAATATTGATGATTGGGGATGGCAGCTTCCAGGTGACTGCTCAAGAATTGTCCACCATCATCCGTCAGAGTTTGGACGTGATTGTGTTTGTGATTAATAACGACGGTTACACCATTGAGAGAGCCATTCATGGCTTGTCGGAAGAGTACAACGACATCGGTCAGTGGAACTACCTGCTGGCACCTGAATTCTTCGGAGCGCCCAAAGGCAGCGTCAAGACAGCGACAGTGAAGACCTGGGGTGATTTGGAGAACGTTCTTGACGACGAAGAGATTGCCGATGGAAAGGGATTGCGCATGGTTGAGATTTTCATGGCAAGGGATGACTGCCCAATCGGGCCTATGTCTACGTGGTTGGAGAAGGAAAAGGCCAGGACGTCAAAGTACTCTATCTAGCCAGTACCAAACAAACGCCACATTTTCATTCTAGTTTCAGTTCGGACATGGCACATGGTCTCGGGACCGAGCCCTCCAATAGTGCATGACAAAAGCAAGGCTCTCGCCCCAATTTCTAGGCAAGGCCCTCATGACGACGAATAAAAGACCGTCTAGAGCCTTCCGTGGTGGAACGGTAACTTTATCCTTCTTGATCATCTACTATACGATTGAGGGTAGTACCAAGGTAGCCGCGCAGTCGGTTTTGCGAGGCCCGGACCGACGGACCACTACTTCCGCTGCCCGCGTGTTGCTGCACAGATAGATAAACTTATATCGGACAATTGGCAATCATATTCGCGAAGCACGGCAACCCGCGTTCGGGCCTTTCGACATTGTGAGGTTCTTGGAGGCGGCGGAAGCGGGGGAATGGCTCGCCTCGATCCAAGAATCCCTGCTAGATCAAAGGCGGAAGCGGCGACTCCGACAATATTATCCGGAGCGGACTCCAAGATTATATACCTAGTCAAATCCGGAAGTAGCTCCTCTGAGAAAATAATTGGAGTTATCGAGGATTGTTGCAAGGGGGCCGGGGGGGCGCGGCAACGAGTTCAGCGGAAAGACGCAAGTGCCGAGACACCGTGTCGGAGTCGACTAGTCGTGATGAAGCCGACTAGACTTTGCTTGTTCATACGTTTGCGGCATTTTTGTGTTAATATCCTGATCTCAATTTCGTAGAGTTATCTAACGACTACCTGTGCTGGCGACTAGGGTGGTGCCTTGGCTGGTGGCTTAGGTACTTTGAGCCACAAGGAAAGTACCGGATAGCCTTGACGTACTCTAGAAGCCAGTCGCCAGACGAACTTTCGATCCGAGATCAGGGCATAAATGGCCTGCCATCGTGGGATAGGGTCCCACTACCAATATTCGCCGCTGACTCTCGCAACTTCGCAACCGGAACTAGGAGATATTGTCCGAGGACGCAAGCCAGAGCTAGAGATGTAATAAATAATCCTGTTCCCGTAATCTCATGGTAGAATTTTTTACTCTATCGACTATCAGCTGGCTTCTACGTACACTTGAGCACACGCAGCATCCTTTTCGGCTCTTGAAATCCTTCATTTCTAAACGCAAGCTTATTTGACATGGCCGACATCATCTCTTCAAAAATGGCGGACAAACCCGAGCTCCAGCAAGATCTAGCCGGCAAAGTCGCACTGGTAACGTAAAGCGCCCTGTTGTCTGTGCTCGGTTCAACGGCGAGACGGGCCGGTCTCCAGCGGCCCGGTCTCACAAGGTTATAGCTGCGTGGCAAGTAACGCTTTATGCTAATGCTTATTCAGTGGAGCGTCTCGGGGAATCGGCCGGGCGATAGCCTTGCAACTAGCAAGCCGGGGAGCCTCCGTCCTCGGTACCTGCTCTTCAACAGCATCGGTACACCACATCGAGTCTATCGCTCAAGAGGTTCAGGAGCTGTACAAATCGAGTGGACATTGTGCGCCAGTGATTGTTGGAATCGCGGCCAACGTTCTTGCGCAAGAGTCTCCGCTGCTGATTGCAGAGACAATAGAAAACACTTTCGACAGCAAGCTCGACATTGTCATCAACAACGCGGCGTACTACGAGTTCCGACAGATGGGAGAGCTTGATGCGGATTATGTTGACAAGTTGTTGTTGGGCAATGTTCATAATCTGATCATGTTGATGGAAACATGCTTCAAGAAAGGGCTCATTCAGCCCAACTCGAGGATTGTGAATGTATCAAGCGATACCACGAGGACAAGCCTACCCTTTCCGTGAGTCCCTTTCTAATTTACCACTCTCCCATATCAGCCTCTACCGGCTTCATAACTAACTGATAAATGCTATAGTGAAATGTTCGTCTTTACCTGCACAAAGGCCGCAATGGAATCATTGACGCGTTCTTGGTCCGACATTCTGAGCCGTCATGAAACGACCTTGGGCACAACAGTCAACACGCTCGCAGTTGGCCCTACTGCCACAGATGCGCTACTAAACGCCCCTGTCCATCTCCAGACCCGTGCGGCCGAGGTGCTTCGGTCGGGTACATCGGTAGCTGGTGGAGTTGGACATCCACAGGACATTGCGGATATTGTTGGTCTGCTTGTGAGCGAAAAGTCTAGGTGGATCAACGGCAGCGTTGTTTGCGCAACTGGGGGGCTTACAAAAATACTGTAATTAGTAACACTATAGTCAAATATTCTCCTCTACTCTACTCAACTTAGTTCAAAGAAAGCAATAAATCTCACGTAAAATGGCGAGCGGTACGGATTACAGTAAAGCAAAGCGCACGCGCGGTGGGGAGTGCAGTAGGGGGTGCTGGGGGTAAGCACGCTATTTTGACGCGTAATTAGTGTGGCTAATAATCAAGTTCAAGTCTATCGCGCCCGTTCACTTGCCAAGCCAAGTTGTCAAGCCAAGTCTATCCAATCGATTAAGTGTTATATTTGTCAAGATGCCAAGTAGTTGAATTCATCGTTACACGACATAATCTAGCTCATCGGACAACCCGGATATCCGGAAGCTGAGTGCTTCGGTGGGGACGAAATCGAGTCCAAGTCCACCTACCCATTAGATATAGCGCACCATCGATCTACTTGCCCGCCACTATTCTTCAAAAGACGCTTATACATATGCGCTGTAATACTTTGACGATTTGCTGAAGCTACATCGTAGGGACAAGTACATGGACGATTACCATATACAATCAAATACAACCCTGTAAAATACCTGCTTACTTCTTTCCATAGCTATAGGGATGTCGTACCGTACTAACACTACGTAGTAGACAAGAGAACTATTTATACGGACAACGAGTAGGCGGATGAATTAAGTGCTGGGGAATACGATATGTATCGTTGCGGGGAGTGTGGGCCGGGGGGGTGGTTTAGCAGTAAGGTACAAGGGCCGACGGTAGGCGACTACTAATTACATGCCTTCCCCTTCCACCGACAAAGGAATACACAGCTAGCTTGTTCGTACGTATCGTACTTGGTGACATTGGCGAATTTTCAAGTATTTCTAGCCCGCTCCATTATGATTGGTAAATCTTATCCCTTGTATAACATCTCACAGGCGTCAAAGGAATGTAAAGTATGACCAAGGAGGCCTAGTGGCTGCGGCCAGTGAGTCGGAACAACAGTAAGGCCGTTTAGTTCCTCCTCCACAGTTCATGAAACTTTCATTCTTAAGCATAACAACACGCTCTCGCGTCAACTTGCTCGCGTCAACTTACTCGCTATTAAACTAAGCGTCCGAATTCAATTTAATATCAACAGCAATGCCTACTCTCAAGGTCGATATACTCTCTGCTTTCTGTTATGTACAAGTAGTTGGCTCATAGTTCCGGTGTAGGAAGCAGAATATGACAACCTCAGTCAAACTCCGTATGGCTTTCTCAGAATTTTAGGCGGCTTTGGGAACGTCAGGTAAGTCCAGGTTATATTTATTCGAGTAGCACATAGACCACTGACCACTGTTGCATTGTCCGTGTAGAGGTCCTGGACTGGTGTGATTGAATCCCGTACCTATGCCACAACCGGAGACAAGTTACGCTGCTCTAATCCAACTTTTAAGTATGTTCCGGAGCATGGTTGCAGGAACATCCACTGCAATTATTTTTGGACTCGGAAGCGCTTTGGCCAGTAGCATGATATGGGGAACGGCGACTCTGCCCTTTGTCATCTTCTCGTCGCTTGGCTTTGCCCTCGGCAGTCTACGGTGGTACACAGTATCAAGCCAGGAAGCTTTGATGCAGCTGCATCGATACCCTGCACTGCTTCGTATGCACATCATCAGTAACTTTCCCTGGCTTCCAGAGTACGCACGTTATCATCCAGCATGGTTTACACCTCAGAGGTTTGGCACTAGTTGGGTCCGGAAGAGTGTACTCATCGCTAGCTGGCTGTCGGCGCAGCCAGCTTTGGATGAAATCCAGACTCAAGCTGAGGCAGCCCTAGTACAGGCATATGCCGACGCACCTGTTGACCAACAGGATCAAGGCGGAGAGAAACAGTCGTTATGCGACGACTAGGATAGGATACTATGTGCTGAAAAGTATAACAGCAGCTGGCCCAAAATAATTATGCTCGAGTACTGTCTTCCCGAAGCAATTAAAACACAATACTCTGCTATTAATAATATTGAACTTCTCGTCGAATTGGATGCACTACCAACTATCCGTCCCGAGGCAGGGCTACCTTCGGGGACAGGCACAGGGCAGATCTGTCTGAGCTAGGCAGCAGCCTATAATAAGGTGATTTACAACTCAATATTAATACACGCTGTAAGGATTAGATAGGTCATCTAAGTATCTTCTATACTTTGGCATAATATGTAGGCGGTGGGACCGAACAGCAAGTTCCTGGTCCTGCTCATTCTCCTCACATACACTCTCCAGATCAACTACCATAACCTTTCCCTCAACCACCAGAAAATTATCGAGTTTTGGGTCATCATAGATAACTCCAAATCTAGTAAAGGCTCGAAGAATAACCTCGAGCTGCCGCTCAAAATCTTCCGCCGGCAGTGCCGTAGGACCCTGCTTGTATGAGGGCATACCTTCTAGACGCGAAAGCACGATCGAGGGTATATCATCGAATACTGCGTCCCCTAAAAAGTACGGCATAATGCGGCCCTGCAGCGGCGCTAGCCTCTTATACATGACCCTTTCATTAGCAAATTCATCGTCCCAGTCAGGCTTACGAGACTTGAGAACAAGACGTCCAGGAAGATAAAATTGAGGCGGCAGCAGCTGCTGCAAGGGCCTAAGAAGAAAGCCCGGCAGGTGACTCAGGCTTGCGGCGATCCATTTCATGAACTTGGAGCGGATAAGGGTTATATATTGGACATTGTCGTGGACACGGTCGACGCGCTCGGCCCGAGCCCTCAGGGGAGAACCAGCAAAGGTAAACTAGACAGTCAAGTTTAACTTTAAGCTTAATAAGAGACCGAAAGAAAGGTTCAGGAGAGTTTTTACCTGGATAACTCTGTCAGCTCTCGCTTTGTCCATCATGTATCATGGAGATGCTTGTTTTTTATATGGGGAGAAAAAAGGAGGCGAGTCATGCAGTGCCTGGTAGAGTAGACGGCACGGACGCGCGCTGCTGCCTAGGGTACCACTTGACCGCCTCTTGTGGCCAGGCATGCTGGCTCACAGAGGCACCCTATAAAAGGAGTACTACCGTGCCTACTAAGTTTAGATCTTACTAAACATGTTACTTTTGGGAACGTAAGTAACATTTATGAAAGAGATCAGGTGCGAAAAACAGGGATTGAGTTGCATTAATCAAGTAAACACGTCTCTGCAAGCGCATCGCGTCTTCTTCATTCTAAAGTCTCTTTCGCCTTCGCTCTTTCTTTACTTGACTGTTCATCTCCTACTCTTGAGTGCATTACCTGGCCGTGATGATGGGATGAATCAGCTCCGCAATTGCCAACAACTTCTCATCCTCAAACTTTCGAGCCGCGAGCTGGACGGACAGAGGCAAGCCATGGAAGCTCTCTGGGTCGTACAGTGCTTCCAGTCGCTCGTCTTCCGGAGAAAAGGGCTTGAAATTCTCATACTTGGCGTCAAGATTCCGATCGACCGTCATGTTTAGAGGCAGGTTGATGGCGGGGAAATCAACGCTGTTGTAAATGGAAGTGTAGGAGGTGTCGAGCCATTGATCGAACGGCAGCGCAGTGTTTGCAGCAGTAACAGAGAGCAAAGCGTCCAAAGGCTCACCGCTGCTATTCCACTCGTCATCCACGATGCTTGTTAGATTCATGAGCCTGATGTTGAGATCGTACAGCGTCTGCACGCTAATGGGGAACCGCGGGGAATCCGGAACGAAGATTCCAGTCCGGCGGACAATCTCAGTGATGGGCTCCTGTGAGATGAGCTCGGTAATTCCTTCAATACCTTGGAAGAGAAGAAATTCCTTGCAAAGATCCCATACCGTGCTGAGGTCAGGAGGATTGAATGGGACCAGCTCAATGCCGGCTTCTCTAAGCCGATCAACGGCTGCCCTATAGCCACGCAGCACTGGAGGAAACAGATGAATAAAAGTATTCGAGCTTTCCACATCCCAGACTCCAATTCGGGGCTTTTTGGGCGCTGTCTCGTTGCGCCAAGGGCTCGGATACAGCTGGATGCTTGATCTTTCCCAAGGCTGGGCATCCGAAACAATCTTGGAGACCAGACGAAGGTCGCGGACCGATTGCGCAAAGAAACCCTCGCCGGCTGCCGGGCCAATACCAATGCGACCTGGAGACCAGGGCAGATTGCGGCCGCCGGGAGGTAACCTGGATCCGCTTGGGCGAAAGCCAATCGCTCCATTGGCATGGCCAGGCATCCGGCAGGACCCTGCGCCATCAGAGCCGACACCAAAAAGAGACGAGCTTGTTGCCATTGACACGCCCTCTCCACCTGTAGACCCTCCCGCGCCAAACCGGCTGTTATGGGCATTCAAGGTACGACCCCAAAGAATGCTGTTGGAGTCCGCCGCAAGTCCCGTCTGGGGCATATTGGTCTTGGCGATGATGACGGCACCGGCGTCGATGAGGATTTGGATGAGAACGCCATTGTCAGGCGCAATAGCGTCTGCGAGTGGAGTGAGCCCCTCAGATGCAGCAAAGCCCTTCAAGTCCATGGCATCTTTGATTGTCATGGGGATGCCATGGAGAGGGCCAACAACAGAGCCATTTCTCTGAAAGATGCTGTCAAGCTCCTTGGCGCGGTCAATAGCCGCTTTGAAGTTGATTTCAGTAAGGTGATTGGCCAGAGAATGCGTTGCAGTTGCGCGCTTGCAGAAAGCAGTCACAACCTTTTCTGCTGACAGATTACCAGAAGCGATCCTTTTCGCCGTTTCTGTGAGATCGTACTTTGAAGTATCTGTAATGTCCAACTCTTCGGTGGACAAAACACCACTCTTAATGACGACTTCACGGGGGCTGAAGCTGGTGCCGTTGGAAGGCGGCGTCACTTTCCATTCCGAGGGAATCAGTGCCTCACGCTCCGCCCTCTTGCGATTGACCGTCTTTTCCCACTGCGGGGTGTCATTTCCAGCACGTGCAGATAACATGATGGCAGGTGAGCGGGCAATTGATGAGCCGCGAACGTCGTGTGGGCTGTGATGAGCACCATATCCAAGTGCTCCCTGCAGAATCACCAAGACACCGAGAGTAGAAAGAGCGAAAGTGGTTTTCATGTCGAGACAAATAGAATAAATGATGAGCCTGAGTTGAGTAGAAAAGCATTTCCTGCATATCTAGGACATCTTCCGGGTTTATAAGCTTTTAAACACAATTAACAATCCATGAGATTTACATGATAATCGCTGCAACTGCCGATGATTGCGTCTACCAAGCTGCGGCACCAAGCTGCGGCATTAAATCAAGTCATGTCGAGGCTATGCTATATTCAATTACAGCGAGCTTCGACCATCAACTCTATATGATGCATTCAATGTTGATTAGCCCATTACGCAACCGTTCTAACCCAGAATCGAACGATCGACCAACGATTTCCTTGGCGAGTTGCGTATTTCCTGTGGCGGTGTCCGCGCATTCCGATATCGATCTCGCACAGCCGCGCCGAAATATGGGGTAGGCGCCCAGGCAGCAGCTGCCAAAGGCTGGGGTAACAGAAGATAAGAACATAGAACTAGGTAGCTACTATAGCCACGTAGTTATAAACGTTTTTCTTTTATATAAAAGCTAATATAAATATTAAAATTATATTTTAACTAAAATAAAATCTTTTAATTATTCTTCTATATAAAAAGTTAAAAGTTTTATTTTATATAACTAATAGAATTAATATTATTAAAACTTTTTAGAAATCTAGATCTTTTAAGGAATTAATATTTTAAAATAGTACATAAAAAAATAAAAATAAAATAAAAAAAATTAATAAAAGATTAATAATTATATAATATATTATTTTATTTCTACATCTTTAACTCTATTTATAAGAAACTAAAAAGAAAAAATAGTACTTAAAAATAGGGTTTTTATTATATCTTTTTAGATAAATTATTTTTTTTCCTTTTCTATTTTTAGAAAGGAGATTTTCTTAGAAATCTAATATTATATATCTCTCTCTTTTATAATATATATATAGAATTAATATCTACTATAATACTTTTACCTGTAAGTTAGTGGTCTTTAGTGTCTGCCTACGAGGCTATAGCGGCTACCTAGCCCTACAGCACCTAAGCGGAGCGACGGGTGCGGGCACGTATACTATTCGAAGCTGCGGAAATCCGTCGAGAGAGCAAACGGTATACGCGAGGGCTTGCTATTCTAACCAAACAGGATTTCAAGGGGCTCTCACGGTATTTACTGTACGTGACGGATTAGCTGGCCGTCTTAGGTTTCCACAGTCATAGGCACTGAAAGGTTACATCCGAGCATCATCGGATCTAGCAAGTAGTCGCGCTTTCTTTTAGCTAACCATCATCACTGCTTAACTTTATCAATCGTACTAGAAAAATATATTGAAACTTGTCATCTTAAATTTTTAGTAGGCATAGACCATGGTGAAAGCTCTCATTATGATGGCCGACTATGGCCACGACCCGACAGGTACATAGTTCTTCCCTCCTCGATGCTTTTACGAGCTAACATGTGACAGAGACTGCAGTTCCCTACACGGCATTTCGGGACGCAGGCTTCGAAGTGAGTTTCGCTACGGAAAAGGGTCTGTCGCCCCTATGTGATGCAAGAATGCTTGAGGGCATAACATCGCTTGTATGGTATCTGCCGTAACCCTAGTCTTTTCCATCACTAACCCGTCTTTTGAAAGGCAACCTCACGATCAGTGAAACTCAAATATGCGTCAATGATAGCCTCTCACGAGTGGAAGAACGCTCTGAGCTGGTCCGCGGCCGACTTCGATCTCCAAGCCTTCAGCCTCGTGTTCTTCCCTGGAGGACAAGATCACTCGATTCGACAGCTTCTCGATTCGGAAGTCGTACACAAATTGCTGCAGGAATACTTTCCAACGACTAGAAAGCCCAGCGCGAATGTCATTGGAGCCATATGCCACGGCGTCAAGGTATTGGCCGATACGAATACCGACGGTGGACGCAGCGTTCTCCATGGTTGCATCACTGCAGTCCTACCGTCGTTGTTTGAACAAGCGGCTTTTCGATTACTGAGACCATTCATGGACGGAGATTATTGCAAGGTGTATGGAGGCGACAGTGAGGATCTTGAACATGCGGTTCGTCTCCACGTCTCGTTGTCTGCGTCCAGAACGCTAAGAAATCATCACAGGTGCAAAAGAAATTGGAAGATAAAACTCATTTAAAGACGAGCTGGAGCCCGCTACCGTAAGTACAGTGAATGCATGAACGCTGATCCTGTCGGGCTAACACTTGTCGCAATCATAGCTTTGTAGTTGAGGATGACCAGTTCAATTATGTTAGCGGTAGGTGTCAAGCTGATGCGCAAAAGTTGTCCGAGAGGCTGGTTTTTGCTGTACAGAGAGGAGCACGCAACGAGCCTGAAAACCACGAATCAGAGTAACGCAAACTTTACCAAGGGTTTCTAAGGAATACATGTGCCTCAGACTATTTGGAAGATACTTGCCGAGGAGAACAACCTAGGCCATGTGCCGAGTACGATGCGCCTAAACCTTGGCTAGGAGTGTGAGCATGGTGATGATTCAGAGAATGCAGGAGATCTATCCTTTGATTAATGGTATTATTTTTAATGCTGCTTTGTTTCTGTATTTTGTCAACCGTCTTTTGTTGCTGACCAGGTTGCGTTGGTGCTGCGGTCATGTCGTGCATGACAGGGCTGGGTATTCGGTCCAGTTCATCGCTCGCCGGCCGAACAATTAAGCTAAATTGAGTGAACAAGCGTTACCGGGCAGATAGCATTGCTGAGCGACTCTAACCCGCTGGTTGATTGGGAAAAAAAAAGAAAAAAAAATGTTAGCAATGAGTGGCAGGCATTCTGTCGCGATGCGTCATGAAACACGACTACAGTACCACTATGAAAATCACGTCGCGTGCCCCGAGGCTCTTGAACAAGCAAACAGGACGATGATATCAAGTCAATCACTTTGCACAGGCTTCAAGGTATCAATCAAGCAGCCCTTACGGGCTTTTATATTCAGATTCTAATTAAACGTATCCAAAACAAACTATTATTAGTGCCACCAATTAAATACAGGGTATAAGTAACTCGGCGTCTGCCACATGAATTCTCACTCACGACGACTTGGCCTTGTTTGAGAGTAAGACATTGACAGCATCTTCCCACCGGCGCGAGATGGCAATCTCCGTGACGGTGCGTCCGAGCTCATCCCGAACATCGAGGTCGACACCAGACTTGCCAGCCAACTTCTTAAGCATATCCAAGTCTCCATTCTCGAGGGCCTGCATGATGCCGTTCCAGCCGCGGTACATCTTGTTCGGATCGGCGCCCTTTTCGAGCAGCATGTCGATAATCTCCGTGCTGTCCGTCTGTCTGCGTCGCAAAGCCTTGACAATGGGCAAGTGCTCGCCTGGCGCATTGACATCGGCGCCGCCCTCGCCAATGAGGAAAGCCACAATCTCGGTGCGATACTCGCGAATAGCCGACGTCAGCGGCGAAAAGACGCCGCCGTTGCGGTCTTCCACCGATACGCCGGCGGCACGCAGCAGCTTGACCGATTGTAGCTGGCCGGCCACGACAGCCATTTCCATGACACCTTTGAAGGCGCGGGGCTCCTGGAGCACAGACAGGATTCGCTTCAGAATGGACGGGTAACGCACGGCCATGCACACTGGCCAGTCCTGGCCGCGAACATTCGGATTCGCGCCGTACGCCAGCAGTGTCTCAACTGCTTCAATATTGTTCTCGCGAATGGCCGTGGTCAGTGGCGTGTAGCCCTTGGGGCACTTGTCGTCAACATCGATGCCCTTTTCGAGCAACCACTTGAGAACCTTGAGGTTTTTATAAGCCACTGCAGTCTCGGCAATGCCCTTGGGCGTATCGAGCTTGGCGCCCGCCGCAAGCAGCGGCGGCAAGAAGTGCTCGCGGTGGTGCGTGATGCATTTGAATGCCGGATACTCGCTTGCCGGCACGTTGGGATCCGCTCCGTTGCGAAGCAGCAGCTCAAAGATGTCGGCGCGGTTATCGCGAATTGCCGTGCACAGCGGTGTGTAGACGCCGTCCTTCTTGGCATTGGGGTCCACTCCCGCCTTGAGAAGAAGACGGATGGAATCTATGCTGTTGATGCTCGTGGCCAGCTCCATGATGCCAGGCGTCTTCTTGTGGTCGGCAGCGTTGGCTAGCAAAATTCGCAAGCACTCTGGGTAGCTCTGCGCCGGCCACAACATGTGCTTCGGGCCAGGCAGGTTGGGGTCTGCCCCGTGTTTGATCAGTTCACCTACAATGTCGTCTCTTCCGTTGGTGATGGCTTCGAACAGCGCCGTCTTTCCCTCGCGGCTCTTCTCGTTGGGAGCCGCCCCATACTTGAGCAGCATGGCGGTGAGCGATTTTGGCGACTTCTTGCCAATCGACTCAATCAGAAGGGTATTGCCGCTGCTTGTCATCTGGTTTGGAGTTGCACCGAATATGAGCAGAACATGAGCGATCTGCGCGTTACCAGCGGAAACGGCAATGGACAACGCCGATTGAGTTCCTCTGGCAGCAGAATTCGGGTTCGCCCCGTACTTGAGTAGAGCAATGACTGCTTCGAGACTAGATTTGTCTGCGGCAACTGCCAACGGGCTCTGGCCTTCCCTGTCTAATGCGTTGGGGCTCGCACCATACAAGAGAAGCAGGCGCACACCCTCATTATCACGGCCGGAAATGGCGTCGTTGAGAGCATGCGACTCGGCGCCAGTGTCAGGCGGAGCTCCACAGTCGAGAAGCTCCTGCACGGCTCTATGATCACCGGCACGTATAGCGGAGACGAGGGCTTCAGCGCTGTTGGGCTTATCACGAGCTACCATGGTTCGTGGCTCACGATGAGGCATGTCCAGTGGTAGACTTTTCTTGCGCACAACTTCGGAGCTATCAAGATCGAGCCCCTTGATATCCTCGACGATACTATCGAGTGCAGACTCGGTGTTCTCATCAGGCTTGTCCCACTCGTTGTGGATTGGCAATCTCTTCGCTTGTCGGGCGCGTCCATCGTTGGAGCTTTCCGTCGAGCTCATCGTGTATCTCGTCGCCGAGCTGTCCTCAGCGCTCGAGAAAACCGAACTCATGCCATGAAGGGAGCCGTGGTTGACCGAGGACGCTTTGTCATTGTGGATGATATTGAGAGGAGGGCTGTTGAGAGGGGGGCTCGCCACATGGTTCGTTTGTTGACGACTGAGGGCACGTTGATCATCGATGCTGCGATGCTGCGATGCTGCCGAGCTCATAGCCGGTGCATGGTACGATGCAGCATCATCGGTGTGCATACTCTTGGCGTAGCCGTATCGCTTCAGTGGCTGTCCCGTGGCGGTTTCAATGGCGGCGGCGAGACTAATACAGCCGATACCGAGCTCGCTTTCGGTGCGGGGCGATCCAACCTTCCACTGAAGCAGGAGAGATCCAACTTTGAGATTCTCGTGCGTTTTGGTGACTCCGCTCGTCACTCTTTCGATGTGGTTGTCGCTGAACATCTTACCGAACCCGCGGCGCAGACGGCTCATGGCGCCCTTTCGTTCATGATCGAGAAGTTTGGTCACGACTTGATCAAGGACAAGCGCCTGGTCTTGGGCACCTCGCAAGTTCTTCTTCATGACGGTAATGAGATCAGCGGGCAAAGTCTGGCCGGGCACCGCGTTGGAGAGGCCACCGTAGATGGAGGAGAGCTCATCACAGGCGCCTAGTACCTCCTTTGCGAGCACAACGAAGGAGTGCGGCAGGTGGGACACCAAGCCGGCGTACCCCGACATTTTCTCGGCAATACTGTCATACGAGGCGATGACACTGCCGCAGAAGGAGAGGCATTGCGACTGCGCGTCGTTGGCGGGAGATCTTTCCATTTCTCGATCTGATGAGACAACAAGTTGCTTGTTAGGAGTCGAGGACGGTGGAATAGGCCAGGAAGTAGCAGAGAACTCTTTGAGAGAGCCGGCAAAGTCGCCAGTAGCTGAGTCTGGGCTCGCAGGCGTGTGCGGGAGATCTAGAGCTTGCTGAAGGTTGACGAGAAAAGAGTCGCTGGTCGGAAGCAGTTTATCATCGTCCAAAATGGATTTGGAACGTTCCAGATTGGAAAAAACCTGTCGTTGAACGGTGCTCATATCGGCAGTCTGACATACTTACATACTTAATTCCGGCAACAGCAAGCTGCCGTATTTAAAAGCATCGCCTAACCTTGTCAGCCTCACAGCTAAGCAGGGATGAGATAGGAGAAAAAAAGGCTGGGCGGAGTTGGTGGCGACCAATCCACGTGTTCGCCCCGCACCGCGCACGGCTATAGCGACCACACGACGTAGAGGTGTGGAAACACAGGGAACCAGCACTACTACCTAGGCTGCTAGGTACCTAGGTTGACAGGGTTGACAGGGTTGACAGGGGACCGGCACGACTCGGTAGATGAAAGAACATGGCGGACATCGGGCCTTCCGACCATGATTAGTGGTGCAAGGTGGTGGTGGTAGGGGACTAGAACTTGCTAGACTTGCTAAAACTTGCGCTACGGTTTTTTTTCCGTCCACCAACTTGACAGGCACTCGCACGACTCGGTGGGTAAAAAGATGTAGCGACCTTTGGGTCGTCCGACCATGATTAGTTGGCGGTTATAGGGCACTAGACGCTAGACTTTGCGCTACGGTTCTTTTTATCAGGCACTCGCACGACACGACTCGGTGGACAAAAATTGTATAGCGGCCTTCGGGCTGTCCGGCCATGATTAGTGGTGATTATAGGGCACTACCTACCTAGGTACCGGTCGACGGTGCTAAACTAGCGCTACCGTAGGTACCTACGTTTTTCATCCACCACTTGACAGTTGACAGTTGACAGACAGGGACAGGCAGCGCTCGTACAAAAGCGCGACCTACCGGAGCTAGTCACTGTATCCGTATTAGGTGCTAGCAAACTAGGCAGTCAGTGGCAAAACTTTGTTGAAAATTAAATGGGGTTACGGAGAACTACAAAGGCAATGTTTGTGGTAGACGAAACATTATGCAATGTTATTGGCCGATCTCCTCATAGCAATGCAACCAATGTAAATCATTTCAGTTTCGGGGCATCGATGCAACTAGCCCTGCTGGGGCTGTCAACTCAAGTCTTGTTCCTTCTCGTTGGTCCCGCCTATCACCACTGATGAGGAGGATTTAAAGTTTACATGCACATTGTGGCACGGACTTATTTTTTGATTACGATTCACCAAACACTAAGCCTATTTCTGCCTATGAGCATCATAAAAGGTTGTCGCAGTAAAAAGAGGTCGCGGAGATTATGGAGGCGGTGCTTGCTCGTTTGAACAAATTGCGAGTCAGTCACATATATAGTTGATCTTTTTTAGCTCGACACTTGATAGCCAAAGCGCATCTCAGCTCATATTTAGTTTACACATGCCACACACCTACCTTCCGAGGTAGTTGGTTGGGTAGTACTTGGCACGGTAGCTGCTAAATACAGTGGCGGCCACTAAATATCCCTTTGACTACCAAACTACCTCTCGGGAGGCGACCGATACACACCACTTCCTAGCGCAGGTACAGCGATAGATTTCGGGAACAACCCCCTCTCCCTGTCTTTACGTGGTTGTGGTAAATTTGTCAGTCTTGTGTCTTTGTTGTTTCCAGCTGCTGCACTGCTGCAATAGGCTGTTGTTTTATAGTTCACGCATACGGCAACAGTGCAACAGCTAGTAGAACCAAGACAAACTGATAGCTGGCTGTTGGCTGGGTATAGTAGCTTTTTATGGGCACACATCCATGTAGTATTCGCTTAATTCATCTGAGACACGCGGTATATTGATTGTTTACGGAGATGTGCACCTCCACTACGTGCAATTAATTTACACCTTCAGCCTGTCTAATTGAGCGAGCCTCGAGTCTCGACTCAGCAAAAGGCTGGGGGGCACCATGTTCCATCAAATGCCCCTCATCCACAACAGCAACCTCGTCGTACCGAGTAATGTGGGTCAGGCGGTGCATGATCGCAATGATAATGCAGTCCTGAAAGATCTCGTCTATCGTGTCCTGCATGAGTGCCTCTGTTTTTGCTGTCAACACTACTTGCTCGTCAGATTTCATCATCGTGTCTATTGAGCCTTCACCATCTTTGGCATGTTCCTACCTGCTCGTGGCCTCGTCGAGTATCAGCACGGAGCCTTTCCTTACCATCGCCCGTGCAAGACACAAAAGCTGTTTCTGCCCAGCGGACCACACATCGACATCCATCTGCGCTGACAAGTTACCATCCGTCTCTGAAATGATACTCCAAAGCTGTACACGGTCTAGCGCTCTGATGATATCGTTGTCCGAAGATTTGCCTGTAGGATCCATGTTGAAGGTATGAGGAGCGGATGCTGAGGGACGACATTGACACGGGCGCGAATTTGGCTGCTTTGCAATTGTGAAATATCAACGTCGTCCATCAAAATTTCTCCCTGGCGCATGTCAATCGTGCCAAGTAGAGAGAGTACCGTGGACTAATGACGTTAGGTCATATCCTGCGTCTTATTACGTAGATTAATGCGGTGTTGAGACACAGTCTTTAAGCAACCAGATCGACCGCAAATGGCAATGTGCTCGGACGGCTCAATCTCAATCGTTACGCTAAGCCCTTTGATGACGGGCTCTGCCAACGGGGCGTGAGCGGCTGCTAGGTCTTTGAGTTCAATCTTGCCTCTCGTCGGCCAATGTTGCGCCATTTCCGTCGTGCTTGCAGCAACTTCTAATTTCCGCCGCTGAACTTGTCCTTCCACGTCATAACCACAGCGACGAGCACTGCGGCAATGGTGGTGGTGAGCAAATCCTAATGCAAGGCCCAGCCATATTTGAATGCAACTTTGCAGATATGCAGCTCTTTGTCCTCGGTCAATGAGGTGGCCGTTGCGCTCCCTGTATTCGGATTGCCAGTCAAAGGCTCGAATTGTGGAAGCGCCAGCGACAGATCCGATGAAGTGCGTATACAGGGGCGCTTTGGCTTCAATCTTAAGCAGATGACTTGACGCGACGTTTTAAATTAGAAAGACTGTAGCAGATATAATACCATCATGAGAACAGGCGCCATGACTGCCAAGTAGCGCGAAAACACGAGTAGAATGATCCCTTTGGCTACGACAGAGAATACAGCTTTACATCATGTTAGCTTTTTAAACCAGGTCCCAGTCTAAGCAGTATATAACGGACTAGAAATATAGTTTATCATGGCAAGAGGCAGGCTCGTACAGTATCGATAGGCTCCATGTCTTGGCTGTTTGTGGAATGTCTGTCAGAGATGACTTTTGCTTCTACAAGATGTTCGCAAGATCATACCTGAATCTGTTGATCAAAGTTCCTGTATCGACTTTCGCGAAGAAATGCAAAGGTGCTCTGGGCCCTAGTCAGCGTGGATATTGAGTTTCAAAACCAGGCGTGTACCTCATAGTGCTAGTCAGCAGGTCTGAATATAGGCTGATGGCAGAATTGGATATAATATTGACGATGCCGAACGTATCACAGAAGAAAAAATGATCAGGGAGGCAAGGATAGTTCGACAAATAATATCTTACCAGCAAGAAATAGCAATTGCGATGATACTAAGAAGTCCGAGAAATGTATATACGCCCATGAAAATGCCAGCGTCCTTGTTAGAATTAGCCTCCGACCACCATTTGAGCCAGACAGCTGCTGCTATGCCAGTCTAAGCCTAAAGATGAGGGCAATAGCTTGAACAAACTCGCAAACTCGGTGCAGAATACCCAGATGGCATGCTGACAGAAAAAAGAATTACAATGGAATAGCCAGAGCTGGAAAGGTAGTGGCTATACACTGACCAGTCTCCTTGCTTGCGCTTTTGCATCCAGAACTTGGTCGTGCCCATCTTGCTTCTGTGGTGTGGATGGCAACGATTCAACAACCAAATCTTCCAAACGTGGCATTGTTGTATCTTCTGAATGCGCCATCTCTGAGATCGGAATCTTCCTCTTGAGAATCGAGTCCAAGTTTTACAACAGATCGGTTCCGATCCAGGAAACTTTGCAGAGTCCCGGTTTCTATAATTCGGCCGTCTTCCAGGGCGACAATAGCGTCCGCGAAGCTCAAAAACTTGTCTATTACGCATCAGCAGGGTTTCGGGCGGCTGGAAAGCTTTTTAGTGTCGCTAGGGCTTGTTACGATTGGGCGTTGTTATAATGACTGTTGAATCTTTGCGCAGCAAGCCATCACTCCCCAGAAGGCGTCGCGAAATCTGCACAGGCTGGATCACTGGAACAGTGAGAAGATTGATCAAGGCTATCGAGGTGAATGCCTGAGAAGTGAGAAGCGAGCCGTTCTCTCGGTAAAAAGTAACGATTACGTTAATTGCAAAGGTAGTCAGCGGTGATATGTTCTGTGGGCACTCGGCTAGGAAGAGTCAGCCCAGCAAGTGAGAAGAAATTTTGCACAAGTCTTACACAAGAGAACATTGCAAAAAAGTAGCTGTCGAAAGATCTTGGAGGTTTCTATCCCAACTCTCTGGAGCCTTTCAACGATGGCGGACATGACTGTGTCGAGACCAAGCATTTTGACTGCTTGTATATCGTCAAGCATGCTTGAGGTGACGCGAAGTTGTTAGGGCGGGCGGGTTTCATTTTCGCTTTTAATATAGATTTTGCCATCTCCGAATATAGTTATTTGGAACTGGCCAGAGGAGTAGGGTAGGGATTTTATGGTATGAAGTGGCAAGATGAGGAGAGGCAGGGAGAATGGGATGGTTGTGGAAGTGGGTGCCCGCTAAGGGGTCCCTAGTACAGGTGACAGCGAAGGCCGGAGCTAGCGGCGGTTGGTGCTGTGGGTGTGGTACGCTGAATCTCACGGTGAAGCGGCTGAATATTCTACTACGTTGCGATTTACTTTATTTCGAATATTTTTGAATCTGCTGGCATTGGCCAGATTATTAATAATAGTAGAAACAAGTTGTGACGGGAAAAGGACATCAAGTGACGTAACAAAGGAGAAAAATATACAGACCGAGTAGAATCAAGCACATGCTCAGAGAAAAAACCTTAGTATAAACCCCACTCAACATCCTGCTTCTTCACCGTGCCGTCGCACTTCATCCTTCCCTTGGCGCCTACCCGTCCGCTCCCGCCAAACCGATCAATCGAGTCGCGGATCAGATCCACAATGTCCTGCCCGCCGACGTGAAAGTCAATGTTGCCATTCTTGCCCTTGCCCTGCACGCCAAACTTGCAGCTCCCGTACTGGTCCAGCTGGTGCTGCTTGCCAATCGCGTTTTCCACCTCGTGGTCCGCGTGGCCGTCCCCGTTTTGCAGGTTCTTGATGATCATCTCGCAGTCGGACACGAGCGGCGACGCGCCGCTCGTCTGGTCGACAAAGGTCGAGTCGCCGCAGCGGTCCGGCAGCTTGAGCGCGACGCACGGGTAGTTGGGCGTCTTGAGGCGCGAGTCGCCGCCGGGGCCGTCCCACGCCCTGAAGGCCATCTCGGGACTGCACACGGGGAGACGAATGAAGCCGGGGGTCGTGACGTCTTGCTTCATGAGATCTTCCGCGTTGATGTGTCTCGGGTCCGCTGGAGGAGCGCCGTTTGTGTTGCCATTGTTCTTGTAAGTGCGGACGGATCTGAGGAAAACGGCCACAGTTAGCTTGTGGCGTATCAAACGAGAGTAAGAAGAAGCGAGGGCATGATAAACAGGCACAAGCTGAAGCAAGACCTGAGATGAATATGTGAAATGAAGGAGAGATGAAATGAAGGAGAGATGAAATGAAGGAGAGATGAAATGAAGGAGAGAGAAGAGAGGCAGCTATGTTGCGGGCTAGCTGACGATGAGGGGCATCGCTGGCCGATTCAGTGGGTGTCGTGCCTGCAACATAGCTATTGATGTTCTCGAAATGCAGAGATGTTTATCTCTCCTACTCAAGGAGACGAGTTTCCAGATGATAATTAGGGATACGGCTTTTGGGGTCTAGAGTAACCTCCCCGATAACTTACCCAGTGATGAGATCAGACAACGTCACCCCACCAAATAAATCACCACCCAAGGACTGCACGCCAGCAGGAGGTGAAAACTTGTTTTTTTCCTTGTGCGTTCCAGGGCCCGTCGGGTTCTGCACGTTTTTATACGCATCGCCTTCTGGAACGACCAGGTAGTACAGCTTGTCCTCGTAGCAACCCCAGGTCTTGCTCATCGTGTCCACCGTCATGTAAATGCCGAGGGGATCGATTGTCCCGCACGCGTAGCCCGAATCGACGACGAATGGGTGATGCCCTGAGGCTGTCCAAACGGCAGGAATCGCGTACGAGAAAAAGGCCCTTGCCATGTTGGTCTTCATATCAGACGCCGACCCTTGCAATATGTCTTTCGGGCCGGGCACATTCATGTTGGCGCCGGCAATCAGCTTGCCATCGGAAATGATTTCGGTCAAGGCACTGATAGCCTCATCGGTACCATTGAACAGCCAATACAGTGAGCCTTCAATTGAAGCGCCCCATAAATCGACCGTCTGGGCCATGTACGCCGCAAACAAATCTTGCTTATCTTCGGTCCAATTGCTTTCTCTATAGTTCAACCATTTTGTCAGCGAGACAAGTATCACGAACAGTCATCACACAGTCTAGAAGCAAGGGAAATTCGTATTTTCGTCATGATGAAGAAAGAGAGAAGAGGAGAGGAATCTGTTCAGAGGGCATGACGATGTTTAGGGGCATCCATGCTGAGCCAGCCCTAGCGAGCGTGCCTGCCTGCCTGCCAACACAAAGCTTCTCGCGGAGACAGGTAGTTTTACTTACGGTGATTTGCCAGCTAGAAGGTCCTTTGCAATGTTTGTTGTGCCAGAGATCATTGCCATGGTCGTGTCCTTCAAGTTGGCAGCCGTTGCCGCATTGGCTGCAAAATAGGGCATTTTGGACAAGACTAGAACAAGTTTGGGACCTCTTTGATCAGCAAAACCCGACGCTCCAAGGGACAGATATGAAGATGTGAGACGTTACCAGAGTTGAAGAAGGGGCCAGCAACCAACGTCGACCCAAGGCCGACAGCATCCATCAAAATATTGAGCCACAGCGAGTCATCCTTTGGTGGCGGGACAGGAGCAAACGTCTTGACAAATGCTGCCATTTCACCTGTGATGGATGTACCACCAGCGGCGGTGAGCGCGTTGTAAAAGGAGGAGTATATCTGTCATGAAAAGCGGTTAGTGTCAGTTTCATCGAGAGATCAAAAGTAGAAGAAAGACTCACTTCACGGATGAGGACAAAGCTATTCCAAATCTCATAGCCAGCCGGTCCAGTCCCAGAGCCGACCATGTCAGTACAGAGTTGAATAGTCTCGCAGTTGTTCCATGTAAGTAAAACTCCACAATCCGACTGTTGGGGGCCATGGATCGTGTCCGAGATGGATCGCGAAAAGATGCGATTTCTTTTCCTGTCAATAGACTTGTATACTTGAACGGCGTCATTCCAGGCGTCGGAAGCGTCCATCATGTTCCAACGTGACTGGGGACTCAACCCGCGTAGGTCAGCCACGCTGCGGTCGTCGCATTTGATCTCGGTCCAGTTTCCATGCCTCTCTCCATAGTCCCATGGATCATTTCCTTGTCTCGCCTTGATAACAAACGCGGGCCAGCTCCCGATGCCGGGAGGAGGGTCCACGTAGTTTTCCAAGTCAATGGCCCAGTTGGACGTGCCGCCCATGTTGAACGCCTTGTAGACTTTTGTCCTGTAGTTCAAGACTTCGGGACTCATCCATGATACCCACTCCGTGTCATCGTACACCAGTATGTTGCTGTTACTGGTGCCGTCGAGGAAATTGTGGTTGACGCGCTCTGGAGTGTTGATGATGGCCTTGATCTCGGCGTCTGAGATGTACCCAGCAGTGTCGGTGCACTCGCCCTTTTTGGCATGAGAATCGGCCGGCCCGCCAGTGTAGAAGCAGTCTGGACCGTAGCATCCTGCCTTGGCCATGCCAAAGGATCGTCCGTAGCTAGTGACCCCGACAACAACCTTGTTGGAAGGTACGCCAGCTTTCGTAATCTTGTTGGTAAGAGTTAGTATACAAAGCGATCCGAGAACTCGTAATCGCCACAAAAGCGTACCATGACCAAGGCCTCGACTGTTTCGGTTAGATTGACAGCGCTGCGTAGACACATGCCTGACGGGCAACCTGGCTGCGACCACTGATTCTGTGAATCCCACTGCTTATAGTTAGTTGGAGTGTTTTGAGTGTGGCTGGATTATGTAGGGTCTTTACTTGACCGTGTAAGTCGTAGGTCATGTAAACGATGTAGTCGATGATTTTGCTCATTTGGGCAATTGGGAAGCCCTTCAGGTACCAATATGAGGCAGGTGCCGCGATAGACACTGATCGTCCAGGAAGAAGATTCTTCAGCACGGCGAGAAAGGCAAGATAGTTGTAGCCCTCGGATTTGTCGCCGGCCGGAATGTTGGGAATATCTGGGGCCTAGGAACAGCGCAGTCGAATTAGTAACAGGAGCAAGAGAATACTTGAGACTTTCTGTTCTTACAGAAGGATACTCCCAGTCAATATCAACACCATCAAGGCGATGCTTCTTGATGTAGTTGGCAATGTTTGTGGCCAGCTTAAGGCGGTTCGCGGGCGTGACACCTTGACGGAAGATGTTGTAAGTGCTTGGGCTCGTCGAGAATTCCCAGCCACCAAATGACAGGATTCTCTTGACACCCGTCAAGCGCTTGAAACTTTCAAACTCGTACTCTGTGAGTTTGTCAGGCATATCAATCTCGTAGTCGGCGCTGATGCTGCCGAATCCAAAGTGCAGATGCGTGTATTGAGACGTATCAATCAGCCGGGCATCCACATTGAGACACTTGCGTGCAAGGTTGTATCCTTCAAAATAGCCAATCTTGCGAAATGTTTCTGGCGCATCGCCGCGGGCCAGATCAGTGCCGCAGTTGGAGATGCACCCATTTGTGCCCTTCTTCGCTGTCCCCGGCGCGCCAGTGCTGGTGTCGATACAAAACTCAGCAGTAGTACCGCACTGGCCCCAAACATCGCAGCATGCATTCAATGGGCACGGGTTTAGCTTTGAAAGATCCGTACCGTCAGTCGGCGGCCTCGTACCGGGGACTTGCGGACCGCAGACCGTGTTGGCGATTGGTGCCGGCATCGGTGGCGTGCCCTTGGTCAAGCAAATGAGCGTGCCCTCCCACATGTTGCTGCCGCATCCGTTCCAGCCCCATGTGTTTTCGTTGAAGACGACGATTTCTTCCATGGTAATGCCATTCTCTGCAGCAATACTGGCGCAGGTATCACCGCCGTGGACCGGCCATGACTTGCAGGAGCCATCTGGGTTCGGCTTCGGCCGGTAATCGGGCAGCTCGCCCGCAGAGCAGCAGACGTGCTGTCCCGGAACAAGGGTGCTGCAAAAGTCGTTTCCGGGGTTGTATCTCTCGAAATCGTAACCAGAGACGCCGCACTTGACGGCGAGCTCTGGACAGCCTTCGAGATACTTGACCTGAACCGTGCGGCATTCGCCTGTTGCTCGATTCGCGACTTTGACACCGCGCAAAGTAGTTTGATTCCAGCTTCCAGTCGTGTTTGTATAATTCAGTGCCTGTTCAAGAGGAGTTGTGAAGTAGGCGGGACCCGTGATGCGCTTGGAGTGACTCAATTGTACGCATTGGCCATTTTCCCAGGACCTAAGCTTCTCCTGCACGCTCGAGAATCCACCTCGGCTTGTAACAACAAGTCCAAAGGTATGGTCACGACCGTAGGTCGACTGACAGAGCTGGATAGCCAACGTACTGGCGGCTACGTCAGTGTTGGCCAAGTGTTCTTGCAGCATCGTGAGAGCCAAGGCACCCACGCGGGCACTTTCCAAACCCTTTCCGATACGGAGGCCAATGAGAGCTTTTCCTGTTTGACCGTAAAGGAATGCAGCCCTTTCATTATTGGTTGCGTAACCGCTCGAGAGATATTGATGCGTTTGTGATAATAAGGATCGGAGTTCACACGCAACTCCCCCTCCTTCGTCAGAATCCCAGCCGATTTCATAAGTGGCATTAGCATTAGAAACCAGTGGCTGGATATTAGGAAATTTGGCAAGATTCTCCCAGTCCGGGCCATAGGATGAGCACGCATAGATGTGGTGATTGGTGTCTGGATCGTCGACAGCATCGTATAGGGCAAACTGGTAGAATAAAGTTTCTTTACAAGAATGAAATTGTTCAAAGTGGTGATACATGGGCCATTTTGCGGGATTCGGACCGGATACGCTGCATCGAGTGGGACAGGCAGAGTCTCTTCCAATATAGCCTGGACTGGCTGCTTGGCGAGTCTGGCCTTCAACAGGTAGGATGCCAATGGCGGCCACAGCCGCTTGAAGCCAAAGCAACTTCATCAAAACAAATTAACAAAGAAATTATCAAGAAAAATTAAAAATTAGGTTGAATAACGAAAGAAAAGAGGAGAATATGTTAAAAACAATGGATTGCAGGCGATGAAAGAGTGGCGAGTTCAAGTAAAAGGAATGACGAGGGAAATAAGATCCTGTTGAAGCATACTTCATGGTGTGTGGCTAATAAGTCTTTGATGAGACCACAGTTGGCCAGTCCTCGTAAAGCAGCCCATCCACCTCGAGTCGGTTGCTACTCTAAACGCAGACATTTTGACGAACCCCGGCAGGGTAATAATAGCGTTAGGTGGGCCACATTGAGCTCCGAACATGGAGTTTCAACGGACTTGGCTGCAGCTTGGGCAGATTAGTCGGAAGGAATAATAACATGATTATTGGGTGACTCCCAACTGGTATACCGGGCACGAGGCTGGAGCGGAGCATTATATCAACCAACCTGTGGCTTCCGAGTTGGCTAAACGTCCCACATAGCTGCATCGTAAGATTGCGTGGCGCTTTGCTCTGAAAAAGGAGGAGAGTCCGCAGTTAGAAGACTGCTACGTGATTGTGTTCCTTGCCGCAAGTAGGGTTAAAGGTAATCTTGTACTTTGAGAAATGTGCATGAAGCCTTTGTCTGGTGAGCTTATGGCTATGTCGAGGTTTAAAAGGAGAGCAAATTAGATATTATCTGTAGAACTAAATGTGTAATGGCATAGCCCCAAGGAGACGCTTTCTGTGGTAATGATATAATGTAAAAAGTTCTCATAGCTACACTTTAATCTCGTCCCTCCAATACATGTTACGCCAGTGATCCAGCCAGTCTCTTTCAGGCTCCTTGCGTCCTGGGAATGCCAACATCATGAAAATGCAAAAATAGCCAGGATAAATACAGCAAATAGGCCCGCGGTAGAGAGAGTAGTCCTCTGCGCGGCACTCTTTGAGGGACAGCTCGCAAGTGGCGCCGTCTTTGAGCAAGCCGTGGCCAACAAAGCCGCAGAAATGCTCTCGGCGGCGTCAGAGTCAACCCTGGAGGCGCAATGATTGATTTCAGGCTCCAATTTGTCAGCTGAAGTCTCAAGGCACGAGTGCATCCCTGCTTCAAATAATCGCCCAAGGTTTCCCGACTGGCCCTCAAGAGATAGAATATCAGTGACATTGAAGCCAGCACTGGCGCGATACTGAGTCTGTGGCTCGAAACACTCGGCATCCCAGTCCTTTGGGCTCGTAATATCTGGCGCTTTACCGTCGGCCGAAATGGCAAAACTGAGGAATCTTGTCTGAGAGTTGCCGGCAAGAGTCCAGTTCATCGTGTTAGGAAGTGTCAAAACGCGGGAGCAATGAGGAAATGCCACGTCCCAGCCAATTTCCCAAGTGCCTTCTGACAATAGGCTAGGCCGCATGTCAAGGTAGACATAATAGACGTGGTTTTGACCTTGGTCTTTGGTGTTATTGCTCCCTTGTGTGTAGGTGAATCTCGGATGGTAGGCAGACAAGGTGTAGTTGTAGTTGTCTTTGCGACGAACCCTGATATCCACAAGCGGGCCGTCGTCGCCCATGAAGGATAGCAGCTCGGGATTTTGTATGCCAAAGACGAGTGGAAATATCGGACTCAGCGAGTACGTCTCATTGTCGCGTGGAAAGACCAGATCAAACTCGACAACGGCTGGCAATGATGTATTCACGGACGCGAGAGCGCCTGCTGCGAAAACCGCTGCAGCGATTTGACGCATAATGCCACACCCGTCGATGATTTCTGGTGCTCTCGTCAGAGGTAAATTCGAGAGAAAAGGCAGACGAAAGCGCGGTGGGCATATGGACAAGAAAGGATTATTGCCGGACGCCCGAGTTGTCTAGTCAAGTCAACCCCTGGTTTGTTGTGCCAGCCCACTGTGTGGGTGGAAAAGTCCCTAAGATGCGGGCGCCAGTACGGAAATAAGCGGCCACGATGAATCTTTTGAGCGGCCCGAGAATAAGTGGGCTGAACGAGCAAAGGGCACAAACAGAAAACGGTACGACTTTCAAAAGCCAATTCGGGGGACTCGGGATCGTTCCGGGGCCATATTCAGAGGGGAATTGAGAGGTGTATTGAGAGGGCTTGATCCTGAGAACGGCTCAAGTACCCGCTGGCCGGCCCCCTTTGCCCTGTCTTGCTGGGCAGGCAAGCAGGCTGGTACCGACAAGGGGGGCGACGTACCTACAGGGCTAAGATGTATTTCAAATATCGGATATAGCACAATTTTTGCTACGGAGAGACTTACCTAACCAGCATACAAAACAAAATGCATCACACCTAGTATTAGTTAGGCTAGCGGGCACACGACAGTGGTCTTTTTTTATGCAGGTTGAGCAACTGCCAAGCCAATTATCAATGTCCAATCTCTCAGATCAAAATAGCAAAACCAGCCAGGATTATGCTAGAAACTAAACCGGCAGTAGGAAGGACTCTTGGCGCGGCATTCTTTGGGAGGCAGCTCGCAAGCGGAGTAGGTTTCGAGCAAGCAGTGGCCAACAAAGCCGCAGACATGCTAGATGCAGAGTCCGAGTCGACCTTTGCAGCACAAGGGTTGGTCTTTGGCAGCGAAGTACTGTTGGCAGTCACGAGGCAACTTTCCATTCCCTTGAGAAAGTTGCGAGCCTTTCCATACTGTCCGTCGAGGGAAAGAATGTCGGTAATGTTGAAGCCAGCGCTCGTACGGCCCTCGTCCTGCGAATGGAAGCAATCGCCGCCTTGGTCTTTAGGCGTCTCGAAGTCTGGCTGTTTCCCATCGGCTGAAATGGTAAACATGGTGTATCTCGGTTGCGTGGTGCCCGTCACTCCGCCGTTGATCGCACTGGAATCTTTTGAATCCCGGGAGCAGTTCGGCATCGTTACGTCCCACCCAATCACCCACGTGCCGTTGGACAAGATTGCGCTCCGCATGTCCTCATATACAAAGTACACACCGTTTTCGTTTCCGCTCTTGGTGTTGTCGTTGCTTCTGGAGTAATTCAGGTGCGGGCGAAAGGTAGCCAAGGTTGCAGAGTAGTCGTCCTCGCGGGACACCCTGACTAGCACAAGCGGCCCCGAGCTTCCCATATAAGACACGAGCTCGGCGTTTTGCATCGCAAAGATGAAGGGAAAGGTCGAGCCCAGCGCGTATGTCTCGTTTCGCGGGAAAAGCAAGTCAAACTCGACAACCGCTGGCAGAGAGACATTTGCTGATGTGGCGGCGAGGACAGCCGGCGCGAAAGCCGCGGCAACAAAGGCTGAGGCACGCATGATGCGCAGAAGGTGTTTGTGACTTTTTTTTCCAGCAACGCAAGTTGTGCAAGGGACGAAAGCAGAAGAAAAAGTCGACAGTAACTTGGAGTGCTGAAGGATGGCGGCTGCAAGTGGCGTAACAGTGGGAAATTATGGCCCCCTTGTCTGTTGTTTTGTGGTAAGTCTGGCTAAAAACAAACATGTCACTCGGACGGCTTCTCCCCGCGAACCGAGCCTCCCGGGTTACGGAAATAAATTTCTCGACCCTTGAAGGAGAGTGGATTTTCAAGTCTGTCCTGGGCTTGATACTGGCTGCCAGGTCAAGCCGGACATGACCAGGGCGAGCGGCTTATAGCCCCAAATCTGGACGTCTTGCATTAAATATGCCTAAACTACGGAATAGGCTAGGAGACACGCGACAGTGCTTCATGACATGGGTATCGAGGCAAGTTGCCAAGACCAATATTGGGGGACTTGCCCAGTTCGTACCTTTGCGCCGCTGTACCTCCACTCAATAGCGGGAGAAGAATTATGGACCTGGGGAAGAGGATTTTACAAGAGACCAAATGTGAACCAATCCGTGTAAATTAAAATTTGGTCAGGTTCTGCGAAGCGTATGGCCATGCATGCCATGGAATTAGCCGTCGTGTATTCGTATAAGAAGAAGAAGAAGTGCTTCTTCAGAGGTACTCGTAGCTAGTCATAGGTCAGTCAGGTACACATTTTCAGCCACTACCATTATGCAGCGACATCTTCTTCTCGGCTTGGCAGGGCTGCCCGCTCTCCTCTCGGCGCAAAGGGTCTCTGTGACTTGCAGTTTCGCGACTGTTGCTGCAAATGGCGAGACGTGCGATAGCATGGCCGCGACTTGGGGACTGGACACGGCCACTTTCCAATCATTGAACCCAAAAGCAAAATGCCCAGAGGTCATTGGAGGTGAGCAATACTGTGTAGTTGGTACCGTGACCACAGTCACTGGCGAACCCACCACGGCTCCTGCAACCACGTCCACCCAGACGACAACGACGACGACGACAGAGGTCACCTCTACTACCGTACCAGGCAACGGTAAGTCAATCTTTTTCATTAACGGAACATGTCGCGTCGGCACTAATCTTTACGGGCTGCGACCCGGCCCATTCTGCAGGCATCACCACGCCTGTGCCAGTACAGCCGAACCTTGTCTCAAACTGTAACAAGTTTTACTTTGTCAACAAGGGTGACAACTGTGCTGACATTACCGCGCGATACAACCTCGACCTGTCCGATTTTTTGGAGTGGAATCCCAAGGCCGGCAATAGCTGCTCCGGCCTCTGGGCCAACGCCTATGCCTGCGTCTCCGTCATTGGCTACGTCCCCAAGCCCAAGCCCAAGCCCACGTCCACGTCGACCAAGCCGCCGACAGCAACTGGCAATGGAATCCCCACGCCGCTTCCCACACAGCCCGGCATGACGGACGGCTGCAACAAGTTCTACCTTGTCAAGCCTGGCGAGACGTGCGCGGACATCGCCTCACGCAACGGCGTCTCCCTGTCTGACTTTCTGCAATGGAACCCGCACGCCGGCAACGCCTGCTCGGGCCTGTGGGCCAACGCGTACGCCTGCCTGGGCATGGTTGCGTTTTCGCTCAAGTCGAGGTTCCGCGTCGACTGCACGGGCGACGCCCACAACGTCGTTAACATTGCCGGCGACCAAGGCCAGTGCATAAACACAGACTGCAGCGTGGGGAGCCTGGAAATCGCCGCGGCTGGCGTGTGCCCAGACGGCGAGGTGCAAATTAGCTACTGGGAGCAGCCCGGCTGCCAGGGCAAGTGGTTTGGCTACGGGTACGCAAAGAGGGGGGAGTGCCGCGGCTTATGGACGAATGGGTGGAAGTTCAAGGCTATGCATCTGCGCTGCGCAAAGAGCCAGGATGACTGTGTGAACAAGGGCTCTTGCGCGTACGATCCTGAGCCGGCTCAGGGTGTTTGCTAAGTCACCGATGTATGGCGACATCGTGTTGGGTAACCAGACAGATCCCAATTGGTAGAAAAGATGACAGCGATAGAGTCAAACCAAGTCAGATTCTGCAATAGTAATTAGCTACTATACAGAAGATGAAAAGCAGCTTATTATATTCTGGTATATTGCTCCATTAAAAAGCGTTTTCTAGTGGGAAGAGGTGACCCCGCAAGTGGGTGGTGGACGCTACCGGATAGAATGCAGCCTTATTCTGCCTTGGCATTGTCTCAGCCCGTTGGCTCCTCTCGCATTCTCTAATTTACGATTAATTATACGAAACCATCTAATCCTTTCAGCACCTCTCTAAAAGTCAAAATTCTTCTCTCAGCTTCGTTCGTTTTCTGCTGTATAAAACATAATTGGTCAAATCACCGGGTACGACAAACGAAGTCTTCAAAGTAGCTTGTCTGGAATGCCACCAGAACCTAAAATTAGGCATCGGCTGACTGAGTCTCGAATAAGGCATTATTTCATGCTTCCTCACCAAGCGCCACCTCTGAGCTCAACTTTTGGTGTCTGACCAACGCCATCTATGACGATGATGGCTTGCAGCTGAAGCCTCGTGGTGGCAGTGACGCCACCAAATAGGGCTCAGCTCAGCGCCAGCTGAAGAGAGGGAGAAGCGATTGAGTGTATAACCTTGGTGACGATGTTAGCTTCACTTTGAGACTGATGTCAATTTGGGCGTAAAATGCTCATCCGGCCGGTCCTTCCGACAACCGCAATACTCAGCCCGACACTCAGCCCAACACCCAAGCATTGAGCCACTGTGCACATTTGTTTTAAGGCGAGTGTAGAGTAGAGATTGAATCAGAGGTAGAACATCTCAGAACATTCGCTGCATAGACTTTGAGGCTAGGATCAGAGAGTTTGAGGAAGGAAGCCGGAGCCAGCGATCTCAGTACACGTCCACGATACCAAACCGGGCTACGATGTACAATCCACCGCCTCGCGTGATGATGAACTCGACTGTCTGGAGGCATAAATAATGTCCAACACCTAGCTGGTGGCGCCAATACGTAACGCTGGGCAATGCTACCTGGATACGAGCCGCACTCTGACATAGCCGCAGCTAGCTCTGGCCGGAGACTTTCTGCGAAGCTGTAATGTGCCTTTGCGCCTATACGGCGTAGGAGCATCCATAAAGGGTATGGTTACAACTTGCGCGGACACTTGGAATGTCAGACGAGGCGAATTTCTCAAATGTAGCCGCATGTAGATGTAATTTTAGAAGCTGTGAATAGCAGATGACCGGCTTCTTGGTTGTGTATATAAACATGTCCTCATCCCATCATTCATCCATGATTCCTCTCATCACTCACAAAAGTCTTACTATAACCACGAAACAACAGCCCATATCTTCTCAAGCACTTAGACACCCAGCCTCTTACAGTCCAACCATCCTTCACAATGCTGTCCACCACGGCCATCGCTCTCCCCCTCCTCGCCGCCTTCGTCTCCGCGGACCCCCAGACTCCCGCCACCGGCAGCGTCCAGGTGCAGTTTGCAAACAACTGGAGCGGCGCCAACGGCAACGCCTGGATCCCGCTCAACGGCCACCCCGTCCAGCTCGGCCAGGCCTACGCCAACACCAACCTCTTCAAGGACGGCACCCTCTTTGTCACCAGCCTCCAGTTCACCAGCAACTTCCAGCACGTGTCCTGCGAGGTCCTCAAGGGCGGCACCAAGAAGGTCGCCGAGATCTACAACCCCGGCCAGGACTACCAGACCTTTTCCCAGAAGCCGGTCGACTGGGCCAAGGGCTTTGCCATCAGCTGCTCGTCCTAAGTCTCTATAAAGCCATCTTTTCTTTTAGAACGGGACAAGATGCAGAACGTTGCAGATTGGTTTCGATGTTTTAGTTAGGCATTTACTTAGTCGAGATACTCTTGACAGGATATAGACAGAGAATATACGCTATTTAGTTATAGCTACAAGCATGGCCTTATAATTCTGAGCAAAAACCATTTGATAATTGATGCTTGGCTGGTAAGCCTTTGACAAATGCACGAATACACGCAGTCAGACCTTAATAAGTCTGCCGACACGAGATTCACAGCAGAGCGACATTACAGCAGAGCAACATCACAGCGGAAGTGTAATTAAAAAATCTCTTCCCTTTTTTTCCTCATCTTATATATCCAAGTTAAGCTGATACACTGTAGAATTTAGGATGTACTCCCTACAACCAGCGTAATGCAGAGTCTTGCGTCCTCCAAAAGCTGACATTGACATTTTGAGAGCGACCGACCCACCAGATTTCAGACGCATCTATCTGCAAACGACTGGATGATACCCTCATTGCTCTCCTCGTATACCTTGAGCTCTACGTGCCCATCATCCCTCAGGATGGTATTTGCCTGAACGAATTTCCAAGGCGGCTCAGGCTTTGATGCTACAATCTTTCGCCAAACTCCGTACTGACCATCAACTGCACTGAGAGCTTCATAAAAGGGCCTGCAGGGGCCAATGTCCGCAGTGCAACGCCATACGTGGATGCGATGAAGCATGCGACCGATGGAGGGTTTCCCATTAGAGCGTATTTTGGAACGGTCAACCCGAACATAAAGTACGCCTGCAGTCCGGTCGCAATGCACCGTGAACAGTCCATCGGCATCAGCCATTAAATGCTTGAAAATAGCGTAGTTTGCCTTTTTCCAGAGTTAGCAGTAGGTACTCGCTGGAAAAGGGAAACTCATACGTTGGCGTGCGGGCTACCCCACAACTGCTCTTCCACATTGAATGCCTGAAGGGCTCGGAGACCTTCAACCCCAATATGAAGGTACATGTTGTATATCACTACTAGGATGTTAGCAGGCGAATAAAACGCAACACATACAAAGGAATAGTGCTCACGGTCATCGGCCTTGATATCGCTGTCGTCATCATAACCGAACAAGGAGAGCATGTCTTTACCGTCTCCGAGATAATATGAAATGAGCATTGCTCTGCACTCTTCTACCGTTCCCGCCAACTTCTCAAACACGCTCGTCCATGTTTGGCCGGGTCGATACCACGAGTGAACAGGCTTGCCCGTGAGCGAGTTGATGGGCGCGCGTTCCGGATCGAAATTGTAAACACCAGCTGACGTCTCAGAGAGTAGCTTGCCAGTACCGTGGCCAAGAAGCTCGTGGATCGAGGTTGTAACGAAGCGAATAATGTGGTTGACCTTTTTGAACTCGTGCGCTTCGGATGGATGAACCCAGTGGAATGGACGCTGTGGGTCCGCGTTGGCATTCATTCGATTTGCGTAGACAATATTCTTGAAACCGCATGTCTCACGGATATCGTTGTACTGCATGCAGGTCCCCGACGAATTAGCCAGTTGGCCAGCGTTTGAGTGTCTGGTACTTACATTAGGCACATTGGAAGCCTCCCAGACATTGCTGCAGACAAAGGCAAGTGCTAACCAATCGAGATTAGACTAGCCAACGTAGAGACCCCATGAGTTCATTGCATCTACTAACCGTGCACAATTGAGAACGAGGGTGCCTGAAATTCGGTCTTTTCAAACGGCCCTTTTCCATCATTGACGTCAAGGACTGCCCGGGGAAGCATTCGAATAAATTTTGTTGAATTGTCCACAAGAGCCGCCAACTTGGCTGTTTGCTGTACGTCGGCAATGCTGACCACGCCTCTCCACTCGCATCTTACCCCGTATGGGTCTCTGTAGGGCTCGACAAAGCCAAAGTTGCTCTCCACTCTGGGGTTGTAATCCGCTACCCACCATTTCATAGCCCTTCGGTACGCCTCCAAACTTCCCGTAGTGAAGCTTTCAACATAATTCATGAGAACGCGAGCTTGGCCATCATTGGCTGAAAAGCGGACGGCTTTCAAGAGATGTTCACAAATTTTGGACATTTCTTCCGAGTAGTCACCCCGCTCAAGTCGGATACTTGCGTTCTCCAGTTGCAAATCTCCAACTTCTGGCTCGAGGGCGTTGATGGGAATCGCCGATCCCTTCAAGTGACTCTCGAGTGTAGCATTTGTCTGCACAGACGCCTGGAGGATGTTGTAGATAGCGCTATTCCCGTAAACACTCTTACAGACTCGGGTGTTCTCCGGCTCGATAGAATGTTTCTGCATCACGCGAGCAATAGCAGCTATTTCATCTTTCGTGATCCTAGCGTCACCGGGGTAGTACGTCGAGTCCGACAAGCCTAGTGTACTGGGCGTAGAGGATAACATGCGCTCAATAACCTTTTCCAGCGCAGCTGTGGCAGCCGGTGAGATACTTGCCATTTTGCGCAGAGAGTCTGCCGAAAGTTGGGGCACAATCTTGCGGTCGCCCTCACCCTGTAATACATTTCAGCTTTTATGCCAAGCACGCCATTTGACTAAAACAACCTACGCAAAAGTTGTTTAATTTGGACATGAACATGCCACTGTAGTCCAAGAAATTATCCATTTCTTCCTCTGAGATCCCGAACCGCTGCACAAACTGGGTCCATTCTCCTCCACAGGCCTTGTGCAGCTCGAGGATGAAGTCAAAGATGCCGACACCTTCAGAAGAAGTTTGACCAAGGATGATTCTGCTGCCCTGCCAGGCAGCTTGTGAGAGGTGATGAGCATACAGCTGCTCATTCTGGGAAAGACTGTTAAATACGTCTTTGATCGAGAGCTGATAAGTCGTCACAGAGTGGCGAGATTGACCTGGTGAAGCCATCTGGTGAGAGATTTAGGTGAGTACGTTGGTTTGCTGTTAGTTGCAGTAATTAAAAAAACGGGGCGAGAAGAAACGCAGCAAAGACGCTTCGTTTTGAAAGGATTTGCAAAGTGCAAGCTTGACCTTATAGGCCCTAGTAACCCCTCATAAAGGTGATATCTATTTAAACATATGAATTCGAGCATGAGTCCTTTTCGAATTCGCTGTTAACGGCGTTCTGCTATTTCGATCCTCGCCGTTAATCTCGACTCCCGCATCTATGAAAAAGCCGACGAGCATGGTATTCCTTTCGAAAGTAGCTCGATACAAAAGACTTTGTCCTCAAGAATCCACTGCTTGAATCCTTCCACCAAAGTCGGAGAGAGTCTTGAGCGCGTCTCTATATTCCCTTTCAGCGGCAAGAAAGCAAGCAGTGTGCAGGTATGACTGCCTATTTATCCCCGCGAAGGGAATTGCCTTTAGTAGAGACTTAGGGTGCTGGCGGCTGTGCTGGCCACTGTAATTACTGGCTGTAAAAGCTGCTGTACTGACAGGGGATAGACTGCTGTGGCCCCCGGTGGTCTGTGGCCCACTGTGCCAGCCCTGTGAGTTCTTCTTCGATGTATCCTAAGTCACGACTCACCAGTACTAAAAATACTGAAAATCACGGTATAAAGCTATAAATCTAAATCTAAATCTCCGCCGGCGAGCCGTTGCACTCCCGTGGCGGGGCATTGCGGCGGAGCTCAAGCGCTGTACAGCGAGGGTAACCCCGGCCGCTAGAATAGCTTCGGGACGCTAATGCTGGTCTGGAGACTAATGGCTCTAATAGTGTCTAATGGTGCTGTCCTGTTCCCAAACACATTTACAATGCAAAAGTTCATACGTAGATACTATGATGAATTCCTCGATCGAAAAGAAGCCGACGAAAACACTGAAGAACCGCGAATTTTCACTATACCTAAAGGTAAGCCTATGTGTTGAACTTGTAATTCTTCGACTGACGTTTCTTTAGCAACGGCGATTCCAGAAAGTTTGATCCTTATCCATGAGTTTCATGCTCGCTTTAGTTTGCAGCCATCCCGCGGAATGCCTCTTCAAGGTTAAACGAGTCCTCTATTCTAGCCCGTTGAAATCTTCTAATTCGTGGCTAGAATTAAATCGCTTGCTGGAAGCTTTCTTTGACCTAGTTACTATTGAAAAATCTGCTGAAAGATGGCTCGTCGAACATCCCTATCATTCAGCAATTGCCGATGAGGCCGAAGACACCTAGATGAGAACGTAGGCTTAGTACACCTTGCGAGGCCGGGGGTGGTATCATCAGCTACCCTAAAGGTATACTATTATATTTTTAAGTCATAGTAAAAATCCGTGGGTATAGGGAAGACTTTTTATAGTCCTCTCTAAGTACTATATAATAATCTTAATTCTTATAAGATAATTAAAGTATCAAATCCAGTTTTAGATATATTATTTAGAAATAAATAATATAATAAATATTGATAATTTTAATATTATCTAGTGAGATTATATAAGAATAGATAAAGTAAATAGTATTAATATAATCTTTTTTAAGATTATATATATATAATATAAATTAGTAAGAAATAAAGATATTATAAAAAAACATAAAGTTATTTATAAGAAATAGTAAAGAATTTAGTTATAACTTAGAGAGATAAAATATACTTGTTTAGTAAGCTTATATAAGACTATATTCACTAATCAGCAGGTATAACTTATTTCTATTTAGATATTTAATAGAATGATAATTGAATCTCTCGTCGGCTTTTATATACTAAGTTATCAGTTACGGAGTATTTAGCTAGGTAGCGAGTAAGGCCGTAGTATAGCTGACTAGCTAATCTTGCAGGCAAACAATAACAACTTACAGGGTCTCTACTCTGGTTACACAGCCACTTACAGCCCCTTATTCCTTATTCAGGCTCATCAACTCATTCCAACCAAACCCTACCTTGCTTTCCTTCTCACGCCCGCCGCCGCGTGCTGGCTGAAATGACTAATACTTATTACGAGATCCTCCAAGTTGAGAAATCAGCCTCCGAGTCTGAGATAAAGGCAGCGTTTAAACGTCTCGCCAGAATACATCATCCGGACAAGAATTCCGATAGCGCAGAGGCGACTGCTCGTTTCCAAACGGTGAGGAACGCTCCCACAGAAGAATAATCACGAGTCTTTCTACTAGTAATCTAATGCAAAGCCGCATTCCAAAGCTTAAAAATGCTTATGATGTCCTGATTGACCCGTTTAAGCGACGTCAATATGACAGAACTCTTCGACCGGTAGGCTTTGGCACTCGCGCGCCCGCACCATCAGAGCCACCAAAGTCCTCTTTTCATCATGACAGTGAAAGCAAAAAGAAACTCGACAAGAGAATTGCAGAATTAGGAGCGAGCCTTGATCAGTTACGGGTGCAAAAGTCCGCCACGGATCACGACATATGGACAGAGGAAGAGCTTCTGGCCAAGCTCAAGATTAAGCTAGACAACCTAAACGACGAGGGGGAGGATGAGAAGGCAGCAGGCACTGCCTCAAAAGAAAAGCGCGATTTCAAGTTTGCCTCCTGGTTTACATCAAGAGAATCGGCACAAGTCAAAGAAGCCAGGGAACGACGTGCAGCGGAGAGAAACGCCGCCCGCACTGCCTTGCAAGAACAGATTGACCAGGCCACCGCCACGATAGCTGGCCTCAGGTCGCGGGATGAGCCGCTGATGGCGCAAATCATGAAAGAGATGAGAGAGTTGGCAAGGCTCAATATTGAGCGGGAGGGTCTCGCGCGCGACAAGTAGGACGGAATAGATCAATCGTGGTAGGAAAGACTTTTTCCAGAGGCAGTGCTGTGTCGAGTAAATGTCGTGTAAAAATTTCTTCTCCCTTCTACAGTCTGCCGGAATCTTTTTTCCGCACGATGCACGGCATTGCAATGCATCAGATAACTAAACGAACAATGAAGCAAAGGCAGCGTCTAAAGGCTACAAAGTTCAAAGACATGCATGGTCCTTGTCCGCGAGCGGCAGTATAGATCACCTTAATGGGCCAACGGCCATCGCACGATTCTTACTTGATGTTTCCGGAATCGCTCTCAAAGCTGCTTGATCTGGCCCTTTTTTTCGCACCCCCACACGATTTGCAACTTCACACGAAATCACAGTGCGCGGCAACTGACGATCGACAACCGGCGCATGCCAAATGTGGTATCAATAATATCAGGCTGGCTCGGTGCACGGTCGGGGTGACAGTCGACGCTATAAATTCATGTACGTCTGACCGAGGCCCTCCGGCATCGAGCAATTAGTAGCAATGAGCAGCGCACGTATGACTAAAGTGTTGTCACAATCTTGTCTGGTGGCGCGATGGGCCGGAAGATCTCTCAGGCATTCGCTCCGTCGGGGGCCAATCGCAAACCATCAGTGCATCGCCTGCGTGCATCATAACACGGGGCGGGAATGGCCTAGACTAGAGATGATCGGTGATGTTACATAGGGTTGCATATATACGTGACGGTCGATGAGGCCCCCAGCCTGATTTCAGATTCCTTAATCAGTGAACCAAGCCCAAATAGGTACGGAGAGATGTATCCTCTGGCAAGCTCGTCGGTAGAAGCCCAATTCGAAACAGCCCGACTATCCCATCATGTACGATATAAAAAGGCTTCACGACCGCTCCAAAACATCACCTTACAAGTTACACCTCACCAAGAAGCATTCTGATATATCGTTCCCAATCATCACTTAGAAGCTTTCCCAATAAAATCACCTCAAAATTTTGCAAAATGCAGATTATTTCCATCGCACTCTCTCTCCTCGCTGCGACCGGCGCCGTCGCCGCCGCCACCCCTGAGCAGTTTGAGGCCAGAGATGGGGCCGGCGCCATGATCAAGTACCACGGAGTAAGCAAGATACCGCCAATCCATGTTCACTACGGAGCAAAGCTAACCATCCACTCAACTTCAAAGATTTGCACCAAGGCCAAGAACGAATGCAAGTTCAAGGGCCAGAATGGCAGGGATACCTTTGTCAAGTGCCCCAACTTTGCCAACAAGAGGGTACGTATTTCTCCCTCGACAAGCCGCTAATTGTGTAGATGCTGACTGCTTTCTTTAGTGCACCAAGGACTACAACGAATGTTCATATGACAGCGTCAGCCGAGCTGTCGTGTGCCACTAGACACTGTCAGCGTGGCCGGGTCTTTGGATCAATTTCCAAGACTCTTGGTACCAATTGATATAAGAAATTTGGTACATATCAAAGCTAATACCAGTACACGTCGCATGTTTAACTGCAGTCTCCACGTCGAGAGCCAGCCTGATGCCACGGCGTCGGTGATTAGCAGCGGAAACATAACTAGACAGTTCAATTCCACACTCGTATAGCTTCACCACTCGTCCAAGTGCCTTGCTACTGATTACCCAAGCATGACAAATGTTCATCTTTCTGCAAATCTCCAGCCGCGTTGTACACCTTGAGAATTTCGGAATTGCGTTCCCTCACATTTGAGACCATGAAGTCAATTGCGTCAGTGGCATGCTCTTCCAATTGTTTTTCGTTCGCTTCCTTTGCCTCATCGCGAATTTCGGACAGGCGCTTAAGCCAGTAAAGCCATCTCCAAGGTGTAAATCCATTTGGAGATCGCTTCCCGAGTTCCGACTCGACAAACATGCTGCCACCTTGGCTAGACGTGCGGGGGTAGTTATCCCATGAGACCTCCGAGAGTTGAGCAAGACTGTGACCTGCCTCCTTGATCCAAGAACAAGCAGATGGCAAAAGATGTGCAATGTCAAGAGCCTTGATGTTTCGCATTGCGTCTTCATGATCCGGCTCGTCCGTGCTACCAAGTTCTCGCTCTTCCTCAAACGTAGCGCGGAATAGGATGAGGGCAATCTGGCACATTCCATCCTTACTGATGCGGGTAGATGCCAGTTTGGCCAAAAAAGATGCCAAGTTGTGGCGATGGATGCCGGACAACGACGCGCAATTCGTGTTCCAGAAATCGGTCATATCAGTGACGAGAAAAGGTAAATCTCCCCAGAGTGTGCCCTCGACTGTTCGTGCAACGTCAATGCCGTACACGCCTCGCACAGGCCGCGTCAGCGTGCCCAGCCCCTGGATACGGATGATATCCAACGCCAAGCGGTCGTGTTCCGGCGTTTCATGCGATATGTGGCGGCCGAGTTGATAGTAGATGTGCCACAAGGAGTGAAGGTGGCCTTCGAGGGAGTCGACCCCATCCCCAACGGTACAATATCGTTCGCTGACAATCGAAGTGCGGTTGAACAAGGCTAAATTCCGAAGTTCCTCGAACTCACCCCGGGCGGCGGCTGCTCGCACATCCTCCTTGTCCCTCGTGGCTCCATCTGATGACATGAGTTCAGGGAGGCGATTCTGTGAGGTGCTAATTATGGAATCGTGTAGATGATGCATTCTTACGGTGTTGATGATGATGGTGGAAGCGGTGGGGTTAGGTTGGGTTAGGTTGGGTTGGTTGGTTGTTTGCAACAAAGGAGTCACAGGCAATAGGCCGAGATTTTTACTATACGCCCCTAGCTAGTTCAGGGGAGATTACGCCTAGAACATACTAGAGAATATATATAAGTATATATAAGATACTATACTTTTAGAAATAAATATATAATATTCTATAAAAGTCCTAATAATCTAATGATAGCTTAATAAAGATATTGAAAATATTACTTTTTATATTAAGAAGTTATATTTATAAACTTAAGAAGGTTAAGAATAAAACTTAACTTAAAATAATAAATAGATAAGATTCTACTTAAAGTAAAAAAAAGTATATTTAAAATTATAAAATAATTTAATAACTAAGTAAATTGAATTATTTATGAAAGAATTAAAGTTCTATATTTTAAGAAGATTTAAATTATATATTATTTACTGGTTTAGAAAATCATTTATATAATTATAAATATATTATAAGTCTAGATTTCTAATATATTTTAGAGATTAACTA